TGCTGCTATACAAATTACATCAAAAATACCTGTATACAATCAGTTTTTTTTTTTTTTTTTTTTTTTTTTTTGGTTTAAAATATAGCGTGTAGTTAGTTGGTAAGTTGGTTGCCATGGTGACTAGTGACACTTAATAATAATGTATAAGATATCTTCAAAATGCAACAAAAGCTACTATTTCAGCATACGGAAAGTATACGGATTAAAAAAGCAAAGTGCAGAGAAATGTCCACGTGCCTCAGATCCACTCTAAGTGTTCCTGCACATTGTTGCAAAAATCCCTAACAAATCTTTTTAATTACCGTAACCAAAAAGGACGTTCACCGAAACCGAAACCGAAGGGCATGGCCGCAGGAATTTTCTGAACGGGGTCCTGTTTTGTCAATAACCACTGGGCACAAGCCGGCTCAAGACGGCCCTGCTTTTTGGTATCATCTTGCTGTAGGCAATATTTCCATTTTGTTAGGAAGAGTAATCAAAGGAATAGACCAATTTGGGTTATCTAAAAACAGTAAACTGGCAATCAAGATGTTCCAAGGGGCCTTGCCGAGACCGCAGTGTTAAAAATGTTATGTAACTCGAGCGAAGTTTTGGTGCCAGACTGAGGTGAACACTACCGTGAGGGCCCACTAAACCACAGCCAAGCAAGCAATGTGATATTACCAAAAAAATGAAAACAATCCTTAGTCAATTTATTGATTCATTTGATTATTGATTTTTGTTGAAACAAGATCAAACTGATATTCGAACTTTACAGGTGTGTTTGCGAAACTAAAGTATGAAGGTTAGAACACTGGGAGCAATATTGGGATCGCTAAACGCTTACTATGACCATACTGGCAGGTTTGTTAAACCACAGTATGACTGCTTTGAACGGAGGGCGGCAGTGTGATGCAGCCAAAGCAAGGGCCTGCTGAATTGTTTGCAATGCCGATGGGTGTCATTTAATTGGATCTTGATACTTTTAAAAGCCTAAAACAACTGATCCTAGATGGACCATGTAACGTGTCCAGAAAATTTTGCTGGCATGACTATATAATTTTAGGCTAGTGTTAATTTCCTCCACGTAACTATAAAATAACGGGGCAGTTTGCCACACACCCCTTACGCCAACAATGACACAACAAAGATACTATTCGGTATTGAGGGGATTTTAGAGACGGCGTTTGTTGAATCCCAGATGAATGGAACCAAGGACGCCTGCGCCAGGAGAGCAGCTAGAGCAGTTGCCCCTGACCTCGCGAAATTGAGCATTTTTCTTTGTTTGACTATTGTACGGGCCATTGTTTTGCCCTTTTTTCTCTACGCTTTGCCCCCGTTGCCATCTCTGAGTACAGGCATCCTTGCCTTGGACAAGAACATGACAGGGTAAATTATTTGAAAGAATAAGAACAAATAACAACAAGCAGGTATTCGTGGTGGATGCGTTTGATTGGGCGGCCTGGCATGTGACTTTACCGAGAGGCAGCACTGTGGTCTTTGAATACTGCCCCCTTATTTTGTTGTATTTATGGTGGAGATATGAAGCTCCAGGGTTGGTATGATGAAAAGCGGCAGGAAATAGTGGATCGAAAATAAAAAACAAATAACCTACAAACCATGCTACAGCCAATGTAGAAAAAAAAAATGCTGGTACAACCTTTTCTCTGGAGCACGTGATAGAATCGAGATGCGGGGTAACTGAAACTGTAATAGCAGTAGACAGCAGCCACTGAGCGCTTGACCTGAACTGCTATAACTTTCGATAACTCTGCCAAGGCCTAGCAACCAGTACCTGCAACTTTCCAGCCATGCTATGACAACAGTAAGCAACGGTCGAAATCATGACCATGATCAGCGTCCGGCCATTTGACGGTAGGACTATGTCCTTTATTAGCGGGTTCAAAATAAGTTACACTTTCGCAGAATAGTTCACTTCTCTACAGAGAAAACGCGTACAAACAACGCGTGAGTCTTGCTGCAAAATATGACATGACCCTAGCTGCATCACTGTACTTAAAGAAATATGCCAGGAAAAGACCACCTAGAAAATACCACAAGGTGATTAGCAAATAGCTAAGGTAACATGATATCCACAGCCTACTAAGGATATACGTGTGGGGACACCCGATTCTAGAAAAGGGGGATCTGCGCACTTTCCCCGCGGGTATTAACTCGAATTAAACGATTAATTCCCATTTACATCTTAATTCTTTACCAATCGTTTTACAGTATGCAGGAAGTGACGTTTTAAGTTCGGATAGCAATCCCTTAGCACCTTCGAACTTTGGTGATATGTCCGCGATAAAATATAAAAAATGTCCACATGAATGTTGGAATGACCAAGGGGCAAAGGGAGGGGATGGGCAACAGTAAAGTGCAAAAGCTCACAAGATAGTTAGCCCAAATGTATGGAAAGAGTCACGCCTTTATTTTGTAGGTAAAGCCGAATATTATATTGGGAGTGTGTCTAATATAGAAGCTGCCACCATAGTGCAAATAGCATGTTCTAATTGGGCAAAAATTTAAATGAACGAAGTATAGGTAGCTAAAGCTGATTCTTTACAATATATGGATTGGGTTAAAAAGAAATTAGCAACATAGAAAGATGCCTTAACTTGTGAGCACAATGTTATATCTGTGATCTTATTCATTTATTTCTCACATTTCAATGCATGATTGGATGAATTTTTTATCCCGGACAAAAGCTTGGTGAGGCTTTTTTAAGTCTATTTTTGCTTATGGAAAGTTTTTAATTGTATTCAGCCCATCAAATTCTTTGTCATCAAATCTTTTCTTCAGAAGGTTTTGAAACTATAAACGAGGTCCTCGTTAGGGATGGCAAATAATCTCTTCTCTCACTGCAGTTTTTGACGGACCAAGCTGGACAGTTTAGAAAGAAGAAAAAACCCTTGAAAAGGACCATACTATCGTAAAATTGACCTGAGAGCGAATATTTCTAGATCAGTCACTTTAAGATGAGCTTTTTGGCCAGCCTTAAAAAATGGACCTAAGCCCCCGTGAGATACAAAAAGATTGGCTTGCGATTATTGGAATATTACGAGGAATTCACTCAAAAGCAGCCGTAATTTTTTAGTAAATTTTATGAATTGTGAATTTTTAGTTTTGGGTGATTTTATCTCAAGTATATTTTCTTGGCAGCCTCAAACTCCAGGAGCTTTTCCTCCACAGCTAGGGGTGCTTTTGAGAAAGTTGTAAACAAACCAGGCAAAATTGGTGAGCTCTGATTGGCTGAAAGAAAGTTGTAAACAAAGTATCTGATTGGACGAAAACGAAATTCCGCCTTGCTGGCAAGAGCCTGTGCTCATGTGGCCACATCTCAGCCAATTTGAAACCCATTCTACTGATTTTGCATATTTAGAGGTGTTTTACAATGCTCTTTCTGGTTATGGGATCAGAAGTCAAAAATTCTCACTTCGTGAGACGTCATCACTTCGGTACTTTATTAATGTGGCGAGATGCTTGTAAAAGATCTTGTCGACATGAACTATGGTTTTTATAGAATACGTATTGATGTCCGTAAAGATTAAACCGTAACCGTAAAGGCCATAAAGAAACAGAGAAACATTGCTATTAACCTTATTCGCGGAAAGATCGTTTGAACAGAAAATGGACGTTGGAACTTCATATTTGTCTTTTTGTCTTCACTCTTATCGAAAGACTAAATTGTTTCAATGATAGGTCGTTGCTTATATGTTTTGATGACTACAATGCGGACAAAATTGTTCACACAAAATTAAATTTTCTTCTTTACGTTGCCCCCATGAATTCGAGTCCTCCCTCATTTCCCCCCGAACAAATGTTTGATTTGTGGCTCTATCATTTATACTTAAAAACATCCATTCCAACACTAAATCGGGGAAGGGGCAAGGTTATTTTTCAAAGGAAAGAGAAAATATCGACTTTTCTTAAAAAGTCTCAACTATTTTTGTCAAGGATTATAGATGTCTGTTTATATGTTGTATCTGATTTTCAACTTACATTCAAGTTAAGAGGAATGTTACTTTTTCTTTCTAGTTTGTTTTAAATATACTACACAATATTGTTTACTTTGTTAATATTATGAAATAAATTGATTAAACAGCACACCCCACGCATCGCCTAACGAGCTAATTCACACCGTATATAGTCTGAAGCGGAAATCTCCTTGACAGTAAATGAAGAAAATAAAGCCCCTGAATCAGTTTCGATGCATAGCTGCTGCGAACGAAGAAACCCAAGAAACATCGTTCATACTGTATTTGTCAATGATATTTGCAGCTGCATTGTAAAAAGGTGTCAACTTAATAACTGGTTTCAAAAGAGGCACACTTGATCAGAGCCTAGTTTTATCAATGAAAATCGCTTTATTAGCCATACCATCAGATAGGTAGACAGATGAAGTGGAAAATATAATTTGATACTAGCAGTCATGCAGCATTTTATACTTTTGTTTCTTACGATTTGCAAAGGTATACGGACAAGCGTTGGCAACTACTTAGTCCTTTAGATGCATGCCGGTCAAACAGAAAGATGCGACTGGAAAAATCTACTGTCTTGGAACTCTACAATAGTCCATTAGTCGTTGCAAGCTGTTCTTGACTGCATCTGGGTGCTGGCAGAAACAGATCAAAAACTATCCCGAGAAACCAAAACTTTGTTTTGCTGTCTCTGTTTTGCAGGGTTTTCAATTTTAATCACATACATATATTGAAGATTGCTAAACCTTTTGCATACCGACCTAAGGAAGAACTGACATTTTTGAAAAGTTAATGGAACTTTGATGTACTGTTTACCAGTCTGTTGTACAGTGTTCGAGGCCGTGTGGCAGAACTGTATACATCAGTCTTGTTCCACGTACTAAAACATCACAACAACTACCTATTTTTTACCATCAATATCGTTATTGCAAAACTGTATGGCAAGGCCGCCACTCAACGCTCAAGCAGTACCTGTTAGTACTCGTTCGCCAATTTGTACCAGCAAGTCGGTGGAAAACAAACTAAAATAAACACAAAAAGCGACAAATGGCACATTTTCAGCAATTCCTTTTTATGTACAATATTAGTTACAATGAAAACAGGGAGAGAATAAATATTTGTCGCTTTATTCTACCATGCAAAATTAAAAATCGTTGATATATTCATACTGACGAATCCCGCTATTGACAAAGTGTATTTCACAAAATGCTATTTATAGAATAAAGATCGATTGTAATCACAAAGAAGCAATTTTGATTATGAATTCGCCGAGCAAATAGAGAGAGAGTTCTAGAGAGACTTGAGCTCAAAAAAGGACAAAAGGAAGTCGACTGGTTCAGTCTTAGCAGTATTTGGTGACCAGGGGGTGATACTCAAAGACCGTGACATTGATTTAGTGCAAAGACCAGCTAAACACATGAAGAAGTTGTATTTTCCTGCGAGGCACATTAGCACGTAGCAAATACTTATCACGCCAAACAAAGTGAGACAGCTTCTGTTTTAAACAGTTTAAGCTAGTCCTTCAAGAGCTAAGGCGCCTAGAACTCTCAAATCGATGGAATAATGTAGTTAAGGAATTTATATTAAATTATTATAAAAGGACCCTAATACAAAAGAAGCTGGATACAAAAACATACAGATAATTTGGTAAATATTTTTGTAGAAAATGATACGCATGGTAAAGTCATCGTTTGAAATTTAGATTTATTCACGTTCGAATATTGCTCTGCAACGTACAAGTCACAGATGACAATCGTGTACAGGTCATTTTATAAAAGCAACTTATGAGTAAGCAGCCATGATGGATTCTGGAGAAGTGTTGCGCAAAAATTAGGCAACTGAAGGGGTTATTGAATAAGCTGTAAGCAACTACACAACAAAGTTATGCCTTGCTTTTGTTTATCTGCAACCTTGTCTTTAGTTGCAACATTATTCATATATTATGTCGTTTATAGAAAAAATGTTATCCAATGGCACGTATGCCATATTTCACAATTTTTCCATTAAGGGATGCAGAATTACCCTGCATGCAAACATACGAGGTTGAAGACCGAAATCTCAAACACTTTCCAATAAAATCTCGAGAACTGAGGTCCTACGATGAGTTGCTTAAGAATTGAGGGCTGGGTTGCTTATTAAAAAGGTAAATATATTTCTAACGTGTAATATCGTGAAAATCGTCGACTCATACAATTTTGTGCCATTCAGCGATTTGTTTCTGTGGCGATTCAAGCATCTCGTGAAAATGTTTGAGTTCCAACGGAGTTATGGCTCTTTGCGGGTGATGGTTGCCAATAACAACGTTACCAGTTTTATCTTGCTTCAGTCTCGATTCGTGGTGCATCATATCGAAGACGAGGCAAATGCTCCTTAGTCCATGCTCGTCCACAGGGAATACAAGCTTCTCATTGAAAACAGGACACCTCGACTTCTTACACACTCTAGTTCGCCTTTTGTCTGTCATGACTCCCTCTCTTAGCAAAGTGATTTTCACATAATAATCTAGAACGAGTTCAATTGAAAAAGCTGATGAACAAAGCAGTTTTTGCCACTTTAAAAATATATTTGTCTGAATAGCAATAAGCAGTAAGACAAAAAATTCATAAATAGCCATGTTCTAAATATGAAACTTTACCAAAAACATAGTGGATTGAACACTTCATAATGTCAAATCTTACCAGCTTTCTAATTGTGGCGGAGCGCTGCGGAGCATCTAGCATAGGCTTTAGAAGTTACCCTGCGTAAGGTTGGCAGCTTGCCAGTGTATGACACTCTTAGCATAGGGGGGGGGGGGGCATGTCATACTTGATTCACCTGCTTTTTGCTGATAGTAAAATGTAGGACTGTTAGCAGCTGAATATTTTGGAAAGATACAGTCCTTGCTTAATTCAAACGTTGTCGCTCTTTGTGTTCAAGCCCGAGGAGCGGTGGATATAGTTTCCATAATAATGATTCAAGTGTGGAACATGAAAAAGTGCAGCAATAGATCAATATACAAAGTATTTGAGAAGCGAATACATGTTGTCAAAATATGGATACCTGGTCGGCTGCCATTTGGTCCCTCGGGAAGCCCATTTGCTTTTAAGACAATCACTGACACTTGTCCTGAGTTTGGTTGATACGAGAGCGAAACTAACAGCTCTCCTTTTTCCTTTTGCTGAAATGAAATAAAAAGATGGGATGACATATTGAAGAAGAGGGTTGTCAAAGGAAATATAGTCTTATATCACGGTTGAAAAGACAATCGGAGAGACGCAAACGAAAAAACCCTAGGTAAGGATGAACAGAAACGAAGGAAAGATGACTGTGAATCCGTCTTTATGGAAAGATTTTGTGAATATTATACAGCATTTCGGCAACCAAATTCAGATGAATAAAGAGAGTTGAGATAACATAATTTAAAATCAGAATAAATGATAAATGATGCTGTAATAAATGAACTTTAATCACTTGTGGTTTTATGACTTTGAATTTCACGAGTAATTTAACATTTAAAAAATGTCTGCCAAGGTGACTAGAAAACAAGGAGCACCGCCCTCTTTGCTAAAACCAAAAATCTATATCACAATTGTATAGTACAGTGCCTTCATATTTGCACAAATGATGCGCATTATAAAATGCAGTAGGTTTTATATATTTACAAGGTTTTTATATAATATTAACAGAGAGCCTTTATGATAGAATCATAATGTAATGGCCGCTTTCAAATTTTAGTTGTATACCGAGAATTTGAGATTTATTCATTCCATTGGCTTTAAGCTTAGTGGTAACTCTAGCCCTGGCCAGGGATGTGGCTACTGAGGGTCATAAAAAAATACCCAAAATCCTTGGTCCAGCTGTTTTAAATTTGGAAATGAAGGCGTTTTGCCACTGTCGCACAGAGGCAGTGCCTTTGAACACATTTCCTTATCACCCTTTCCATGTTTACATAGCCCAACCCAATCTCGACTTGAAAACTTGTAAATGCGTGTTATCTCAGATACGAGGTATTGCATTTGGCATGCATTTCGAGGTAAATATGCTACCAGTTTTAAATGATGATTGTTATCGTAATATCTTTCTGCGACTAATAACTGATAGATGCTTACATCATCATTTGAAGCAATACACAGGGGCCTAGACTCTTCTTGACCATCGAAGTTGACATGCTCAAGGGGCAGAGACACATCAGCAACAAACTCAGTCCTCGAAAATTTATCATAGTCCAGCACAACAAATCTTAATGTTGATGCTTTAACTTTATCCATGCTCAACCCAGTGACATTGCAGGTCTTTTCTCTTGAGTAATTCAAAACCTCGTAAAAGAACTGCTTATGATTCTCGTCGTCAGATGTCACGAAGACTTGCACATATGGGTATGAAACTCCTTTCTCTCTTGTTAATGGTAAGTCCAACAGGTCCAGAATCTAAAAGTGGGGGAAATAAAAAATCAAATCTCTTAAAATACACGACAATCAGAACTTTTAGCTGGCAAACAATTTCAGCAACATCCTAATAAACAATATTTCTAAGTGTTTCTTGGCTTTCTCTTGAAAATATAAACTGGCTGTTTAGCTTTATAGAAAATATCGTGCAGCAAAAGGCAGATCTTTGTATTCAGTTTACATAGCATTGATTCAAATATATACCAAAATTTTTCAAATATCAAATACAAAAAAAGATTAAATAATCACAAAGACAAAAGTCGATAGACTGGCGGGTTGATGGCGTCATATAAATCTATTTTTAGAATTTTAGAATTTTCTGACCCCATATCCTGAAAGAACATTATAAGATGCATCTACATGTGCAAAATCATTCGAATTTTTCGTTAATTTGGCTCTGGTTCTAATATCTACCAACCAGGCCTGAACAGCAGGAATCGATTAGCAAAATGGCATGCAAAAACAGAAACATGACAAGTGGTACTTCAGTATAATTTTCCTCTGGCACACTTTGGAATAAAAAATGTTGGATTATATCAAATAAAGGGAAAAGTAATTTATGCCTAGGGGCAGATTAATAGCAATGGGAGAGGAAGGAAATTTTAAGAGGGTACACTGATTGTGTTTCTTGTCCTTCATTACATTACAAAACTTGAATTTAAAACTGTTCCAAAAATTTACCTTTATGAAAAGCTCTGATGTAGCAGGATTGTACTTCAAACAAAATTTGATGATGCCATTTGATGCATATATCCTTCTATTACCTCTAAGGGGGCGACTTAATAAAGATGCAGCAACCGTTTTTGAAATTGCTGATCTCCATAAATTTGAAGAATTCAGCTCTTGTCCTGCCTTGTCTCTCGAAAAGAAAACTTCATTTGGGACCGAGGCTGATCTTCTGTACAATAAATCAGACATCATAGTAGTGGTAGAGTTCCTAGGCGTTGCTATTGGTGATAAGTTTGGAGATCCTAACGGCGTTTCAACGTAGTCAGACATTGGGGAGCCTAATGGCGAATCGAATTGCTTCATCAAATGTCTTGGGGTCCTTGGTGAATCAGGTGTCGATGGATCTGACAGTGTTGGGGTGGGAGGGATTGTGAACTCAGGTGGATCTTTTGCTGATAAGATCTGATAGGCTGCCGAAGGGGGGTGGGCCGTGGTCTTAGGGACATCCTTGATGTTTAGTTTTAACTTTGGCTTTCTTCGCTTGATGCTTTTCTTCTTTGCTTGCCTGCTCTTATGCCAAACAATGCCAGCCAACATGAAGGTTAGCAAGAGCAGCACAAGCAACAGAGCGGATGTTATTGCAATGTATGTGTTTGTTGCGTCATCCATCCTTCATGGCCCCTGCTCGAAGAAACAAAACTATGATGTCATAATCTTGAAAATCAATTCAATATAATTGGTGGAGAGCTGAAATTAAAGATGTAGATTACAAGCCCTATGTAACTTTGTTAAAACAAATATCTGTATAAATTAATATGAAAACGGGCAACAGCGTATTATTTTACCCGTCACCGTGTGACCATTGTTCACAAGAAATTCACAGTTTAAAACTTTTCTCACAGGAAATTTTTAACCATATATAAATAACTGCCTTATACACTTCGAAAGAAGTTGGGAAGTTTTGAAAGAAAAAATGCTGGCAGGAAATTACCTCATTACATTGAAAAAGATCAAAACTAATTAGGCACAGTGATATTTGGCTAGGGGAGATAAATGTGATCGGCATCTCTTGCAAAAGTAACAAATTACTACTTAGTGATAAGAGCGTTTGAGATATTTTTCGAATGCAGGCTATACAGAAAGTGCTATACAGAAAGAACCGAACCGGTAAATAAATTGGGGGTGATTTAATAATACAAAATAAGGGAGCAAAAGCCTGGAATAATTTCCCAAAGATACAAAAAAGAAAGAAATTTTACCATATCACTTAAAGAACAAATGCTGTCAAAAAATAGAGTTACGAAAAAACAGAGAATGGAACATAATTCACATGCCACATTATCTTGTTCAACTTTATTAAGTATATAAGCCAACCTTGTTTCTATCATTGTAATTGTGCGATGCTTTTGTTTTCTAGCTTTACCTTTTGCTATCGTCCCAAGCTAGATAGGTCAATACTTTTCTTGGGTCGTGTATATTACAGTTTTAATACAGTACTCATCTTCTGTAGTATACGAATAAAATTGAATTGAATTTATTATCGAAAACTGCTCAAAGAGTTTTCATACAAGCAATACAGATTGAGTCATAGAACATGAACTACAAATGGTTTGGACTTGGAATACAAATTTTATTGTCAAAGTTTCTGCGATCAAATCATTTGAAAGTATGCAATAATAAAAAAATATCTTTGAAACATAAATACTGGGAAGATACATTTGGCGCTCAATCCTTACAAATTTAGCAAATAAGGAAAAAACACAATGTGCCTTGAACAAACAACAATGTATACTATAAACATTTTACATAAACTGTTTTTCAAGCCCTTTTAGTGAGTTAAATAATATGAGAAGATTATAACAGCTTTGTAATATTTATTATCCAGAAAATGATTAAAATACCTTAATCCTAAAATTTACAAAATTAATATGGTATATAAAAATGAGCCGAAAAGTAAATATATATTTGGTAGTTTTTGAATCAACAATAGTACATATATAGTTTATTACTCCTTGTGATTATCCCCTTCCATAAATTGTGTAAAAAGTGTTAACGAAAAAAGGTTTACAATTATAGAAAGTTAAATGTTTTCCAAGTACAAGCAGTTATGAGATATGCTCCTTGAATAGACTGGGTCCAATAGCCACAGTCTAAAATAGCATTAGGGGCAGATTTAAGTTTTGGTCTGACTGTAATCTTTCTCAGCCAATCAAAATTTGTAGATGTACGAAGTTGCATGCTGGTACCACAATTTGCGTAATTGATGTTTTTAGGCCCCCCACAATCAATGTTGCCATGCCGCAACCAGTTAAAGGCTTGTATCAAACTCTGGACTAGAAGTGTTTTAGCTGGGCTAAAAACCTCAAAACCAAGATGAAAATGAAATGGAAATAAGGGGATTTTGATTTGATATTAAAAAAATGCCAATACACTTGCAGGTATGTATGGTAGCCGAAATCTGATGCATTTCACTGGTTTTTACAAATTCTTTCTGATTACAGGACTTTTTGTTTGATGCGAGCGATCAGTCCCGATCACGTCGAGGAAACCCAACCACACTAGCGTTTGATCGCTCGCCCAAAATGGTAAATTGTGAGGATTAAATGTCTCATCAATTAACACATTTCTTCTTTTGCGATCCAAGAATATAAATTCCACTGCGAATGTTTAGGAATACTTTAGGTACTTGGTATTTGAACTACATTAGCACGTGGAACATTTTCTGGGCAGTAAAAAAAGGCTTTGGAACAATACTTTGCAATAACCCGGCAAAAATGTCTATACGACCTTTGTGATGTACGTAAATACTCTAGGAAGCACATTTATATGCATTGGGTACAGTGTTTAATCTTTCTTGGAGTGCATCAAAGTTCATCGTAACAATTCGTTTTCATTTGACATTATCTTAAACAAAAGTACCTTATTTGTAATAGGAACACACGTTTTTTATAAACAGGCCTTCCTGGGAATAAATTTGCACAAATGTGGCATTTTGCACTCCTAGACCGTCGTAGGAGTGTGATGGAGCTTCGAAGACATTTTATGCAACAAATTCGGAAAGAATTTTTTAAAATCTTTCTAATTAAAAAAGTTCAGCAGCTATTTCCATGAAATTTTCACAAGACATTCTTGATATTTTGAAGCCTTTTATGTAGGCCAAAAAATTAAAAAAAAATTTTCCATAAAATTTCTATAGGTCTCGAGACGAAAACATGGAAGCTCTGAAAACTCAAGAACTGAGTTAAGAGAAGCGCTTACAAATTGCTTTTTACTAAAATAAAGCAAATGGATTTCGTAAAATTGCATCAATTATCGGCTGCTCATTGAGTACAGCTTTTCTGGTGTGTAAAAAGTTTTCCCGTACAAGAACAGTAAAAAATTTACCAAGGGATGGCAGACCGAAGAAGTTTACGACGCCGAGGGACGAAAGGTCTTTACTGAGGGAACTGCGAAGTGATAGGTTTGAATCCTTACTAGAAATTATGTTGTCATGTGAAAAGAAGCTAGATAATGGAACATAAGCAAAAACATGGCTATATATAAAAGTCATGAAAAATACAAATTTATAAGAAGAAAATGCTATTTCAAAGCAAAAATTAATCATCGACGATGAGTGATACTCAATTTTAAAAGTAGCTTGAATAAATGCAAAAATTTAATAAAATTGTAGCATTTTCGTCGATTAAGTAAACTTTTTTTGAAGCTTAAAAGTTTGATTTAATAATTTCTTTTAAAAAATTTTTTGTTATGCAAAGGTGAAATTAAAAAGTTGTATTTGTTTGGACAGCTCCAAAAATTTTGGAAGTTCATGTGACTTTGCCATTGTTAGGCCATACAACCCTTCTGCATATTTTGCTGTTATAATCAGGAGAATCGAAAGAATCCTGTGTTTTCTTGGTTATGCTTCATGTATTTTCTTAACTTTTTATTCCATTTTGGGGAAACTTGGGCCTAGATTATTTGTAGAAAGACTGTCCAAATCTGAAAAAGTTTCCGTTGCAAAACCGAATCCAACGGAACGCCATAATTCGATTATCGAATTCGTCCCAATACTTTTTGAACGTAAGTGTACAAAAGCTCAGTTGCATATATGGAGTCATAAAACTTCATTTCTCAACTCATTTCATCAGTTCCCCCACCATTTTATCAAAAAATATATGTGGTTTTAACTAAAGCAAGGTAAGCCAGAAGAAATATTGAAAGTAGTATTTGAAAGAATAGAAGAATACATGTGCTCTTCGTGTGCGATTTGGCCGTGAATGGATTATATTCTCATAATAATTTGACTTTAATGAGGACTTTAAACTTTCTGGACATTTATGCATTGATTGATTTACTGTTATTTTGTTGCATTTGAAGTATGTAGTTTGTTTGTCAAACAGTTAAATTTATTGAGATTTATCGCCTTCGAAATTCGAATTATTTTTCGCGCGTTTTAACTCTTTGCTGACGCCATTTCTACGCCATTTCTAGAACATTTGCGTTCTGAAAATGGTATGTTCATTTTTCTAATAAATTTGTTCTTTGAACTATTATATAGCATTTATTTTATTGCTACTTTGGAAAGGTATGTTGTGAATAAATCTAAAAGATTTCTATTGTGTTTTTTTGACGGAATTTTGCATTTTTCATATACTTTTAAATGGCTTCGGCCACCATTTTTTTGTTACTTTTTAAAAAATTTGTTTCGGGCGAAGTCGCAATTGCAAAAAATGTTTTAGAACTTTTGAGTTCTTTGTGTGCAAAGTTGTATAAATAGTTGAAAAATATGACTTCTTGTAATACATTGTAGCGAAATTTCAGAAAGAAGAAATTACGAAAAAACCATGGAAGTTGGAAGTCAAGAAGAACGGCCAGATACCGTAACTGTTTGTTTCAAAAATGAAAAAAAAAGGGTTATTATTTGCTTAATTCATAAAACTCAATATATATAAATATTTTCCTTGCAAATGTTTGTAACTTTCGTTAGAAATTAATGATTTATATACAAATTTCGTTAACAATAAATTTCATATAGTCAATCTTTGCATTTGTAATTTCATGTCAAATTTTACAGTTTAAATTTTAAATTTTTTCCAGGCGAATTTGCAATTTCACCAAATGTTTTAGAAAATTTGAGTTCTTTGTGTGCAAAGTTGTATAAATAGTTGAAAAATTTGACTCCTTGTAATACATTGTAGCAAAATTTCAAAAAGAAGTCAAGAAGAACGGCCAGAAACCGTCACAGTATCTTTTAAAAATGAAAAAAAGGTTATTATTTGCTTACTTCATAATACTAAATATATACAAGTATTTTCCTTTCAAATATTTGTAACTTACATTAAAAATTAATGACTTATATACAGACTTTGCTTACAATAAATTTCATGTAGTTGATGGTCAATCTTTGCATTGGGAATTTCGTTTCAAATTTTACAGTATTTATTAGATAAGAGAATTTATACTGTTGTATTGTAAAACTTAATAGTCACATTCTTATTCTCTTAGGAAATACCATTCGAAAAAAAAATTGTCAACGTGAGAAGAACTGTGGCAAAAATTTTCGATATTACAAATATCAAGGGGATTATTTTATTGAATAAAGAAAAAAAGAAACTCAAGGAACTTAGGTATTTATCTTATCACAATTGTAAATCCTACTGATGCACAGTAGAAATTTGTTCATTTTTCAATTTATATGTTGCTAAATATATCATTTTTTTAAATAATGAAACAATTTCCATAATTTGTTCTTTTCTTTCTGAATTATAAGATATTTCAGCCAATGTGTGAGATGTGTTACATTTTCACATTTATATACATAGGCCAAAAAGTGCTTACGTTTTTGTCAAGATTCAACCAAAAAAATGACTTTTATCACAATTTAAAATTCCTTCTGTTGCAAAGTAAATTTTTTTCGTTTTTCAATTTATACATTGCGAATATATCATTCTTTAAATTATTGAAATTATTTGAAGACGGTATATTTCATTTCTGATTGTTAAGAAATCTTTATCAATGTTTAAATTATGTTACATTTACATATTTTAATATAATGTACAGGCCAATATATGCTTGCATTTTCATCAAAATTCTAAAAAAAATATTTTCATTTCTCTAATTCTCTTTCAGACCAGGGATGACTTTACTTGTTAAAATCACCCAAAAGAAGAAAAGAACAAAAGAAGACAAGCAGCAGAGGAGGGAATTTCCTTTCTATAGAAAGGAATTTCCCTACTGTAACAATTACTACACGGGAACTTTCCCGAATATGACAGTTAATAATATTTAGTAGTTCTGTTGTTTTTAAATATGTTCCGCTGTTTGTTTGTTTCTTTTCATATTTTAAATAATGAAATTTCAAAATGAAAGAAAAAAACACAAATTTTCTATTTAGACATTTATATTGATAGAATGGAAAAAACTTCAAACTGTTGTTTTCGTTCAAATTATATGACCAACATTCCTTCATTTTCTGCATGTTAGTTTTATTCAATCTTCATAGTTGCATATCAGTATAAATTTAGGGTTTATTTTTGGCTGTTTAAGATGTTGATAGAATAGAGAAAAAACATTACCTGCCTGTTTATGCTCAAAATATAACTTATCTGACAAAAAGTTCTTGATTATTTGGATATTAATTTTATTTACTCTTCATAGATGTCTATATCTAAAAAGGAAAGGAATTACAAATTAGAAAGAATAAATAGAGATTCCCTAAGACATTGGGATAACATTTCTGATTTATAAATTAGAAAATGGTGTTGTCAGTGAGTAAGCAGGCCAATCACATTGGAAGTGCTTCGTAGTTTATGCAAACAGTGGCTGGTAAACTGACTTTGCAAATTCAACATTATAATTGTACACACAGCTGTTTAAAAATTTCTAATTTGGATTACATAATTTGTTTATGTGCCAAAACTGGTTAAGATATGGCAATTTGATCACAGGGCCTGTTCCATCAAATCACACTATTTTTGTCTCTGTTCTAAATTTGATAAACCATGCCAGAATATAGTAGCAATATCTAGCAACCTTGATATCATTTACTGGCCATTGCTCTCCCAATTTGTGACATTTCTAACTGATATTGCATATTTAGAGATAATTCATGGTGTTCTATTCAGCAATGTGGTACAAAATTAAAAGTTTTAAAAATAGATGTTTATGGTCTCACACTTAATACTTGCCAATTCTGAACACATCAAAAGTTTCAAAAGTTTCAAAACTAAACAAGAACAAGTTTGAAACTAGAGAAAAGAAAACAAGTTAATGAAGCTTATATGTTCAAGGCAATGCCAGGAACAACTTCTTGAGTAAATTGGAAGCAAAAATAACAAGTGAAGGAAATCCATATAAATCTAGTAACATTGCCTAATTTAGAGTGGTCCTGGCCACTAATAGTGGTCTTGGAAAAAATTAGTGGGGAAAAACGAGAAAGTTTAAGTTTCTTGGTCGCAAGAGTTCTTTTGGGTTGAGATGTTTATCACTTTCTATTATCCCTCCCTGAGGTATTCATCACTTTTTTCTCCATTACAAGGGAGACATCATTTCAAAGTGCTAATCTTGACATTTATCTAAATCTTTCTTTTACAAGATCTGCCAACGCCGCAGCTGTTCAACACAGGGTTTATGAAATAAAGCAGCACACTCTTTCGATTTTGTGTCTTTTGCCTCAAGCTTTTAACTGCGCAAATCAATTTTTTTTTGAATTGCCTAATGTTTAATTGCCTAATGAAAGCAACATTGGGTGGCAACAAACATTGTCAATCTACAAAAATGTTTGGAAATTAAAGCAACAATTGGGATTTGGCAATTGAAAAAGCTTAAAAACTTCCGACATTCCAAGCTGATATAAAATTTCCATTAAGTAAAAACCTACTCGTCACAAAAAATTCTCTGTTCAGTTCAATTTTCTATCTTTGTTTTTGCCAAAAAAGTCCATGCCGAAAATTTCATGTTGTTTGGGCCATCATGCAACGCATCACCCCATTTTTCAAATTTAGCTTTTCCTATACATTTCAATTGAAATTTGTTGCTGTGGTGAAATTTTGGGAAGTTGATTTTCAACCTGAAGATCATAACTTCAGATCGAGATTGAGTTCTCGACCTGAAGTTATCAATATAAACTAATTTACAGATGAAGATTTCAAATCTGAAATCAATTTTTGAGAAAGGCCTGTAGAAAGCAAAATGCAGAATTGATAATATTAACCCAGAACTGTGAATTAAAAAGAATTTTCTTCTGCAAGTCATCAATGCCTAATGGCATGATAAAATGATTAATAAATGAACAACCCTGATTCAAATTTATTGGCTGAGGGATTTTCACATAATTAATGACATCAATGATTCCTTGTGGTACTTAAAATTAAGCACTTAAAAATTAGCACACGGAGTGCGACTCTAAATAGAGCTAGATTGAACAGCTTTGGATGTACGGGTTAAAATTTGATGTGACTGTGTAAGCCTGATATTAAATATAGCACCAATAAACGGAGTCTACAATTACAGTCAACTTTTGTGTATTTAAATATTCAACACAATGTGTATTTAAATGTGTAAAAGTGATTGGTAAATTTTTTTTGGTATAACGTGAACATAGTATTTTGTTTATACAAATCCTGGCGACAAAAAATCCAGATGACATACTCACATATCCGAGGAAGGGACGATGATTGCTTGCAAATGATTAAAATAACCTTGTAGATGGATTTATAACCGCGATAGACATCGTGTCAGTTTTTTCCGTGTATCCGCCCGACATCAAGTTTCACAAGTTAAACTCGTCTTACCGCAAGAGGACAACTTAGGACAGTGTAGAGGCAGAACCTTCGTAAGTTTTCCTAGCCAAAGCAGAATCAAACACCAATAAACCGTATTAAATCAAAATAAATGGAAGTATCATACCTTGTTCTCCGTGTTCCTAAACCTCACCAAGCAAATTCTCAACTACGAATCTTTAAAATTCCAAGCAAATGAGCAACCATGTTGGCACTCACCGTCGCCACTTCCTCTTCATTCCAAAACGCACCTTCGCAGCGCTGTTGAGTGTCAAATCCAGCGCCCTCCCAGCATGCAGAAGATCGTCACAAAAAGGATTGAAAGAAATTCTCTCCTCTGTCCTTATTCTTACTACAAAACTCGCACAGTTTAGATGAAGCTACTTGAAAGTGCTTTGTTGTTTTATATCGAATTTTCCTTAGTGATACTGCGATCCAACACAGCTTGAAAACCACACTGCACTTCAAAAACAACAACAGTACAACCATTTAGGTTGCTTCATCTCTCGATAATTGTTTTCTTGTTTCATAAATACAGTTTGCAGAAAAGTCCATTATATTTCAAAATATTTTCAAGTTCTTTCCTGCGTCTTTTCATCAAATGGTATGATGTTAGCGTTATCTGCATCTCTCCTAGATTCATGACTCACTCTTGACTTTTACACTCTTTAAAACTTCAAATCTTTAGGACCGATCTTTAGCTATTTCTAAAAAATACCTCGTTAACATGCTTTTTGAGACTTGTCGAAACTGTTTCTTTCGATATTATTGTTGCAAGTTTTCAACTTGGCTTTTTTTCATTTCATGAATAATGTTAGGGCTCATTTTGGGCTTTTGCTGAGTTCAGAAAGTGCCTCAACCCTCTTCCGGATGAGACTTGGCTCTTCTCCTTGAAATTTTCCCTATATCTTTGATAGAATTTTTCTTGAAAATAGAATTGAAGTGAAATCGTATTTGGTTTGCTAGTTACGAATCGGTCTTCCTCAAAACTACTGCAACGTTTGGCATCCTTTTTCTGGGTCACAGCCGTGGAGCCGTAATACTTCTGGACTGTGGGCTTTTCAAAATAATTTCTTTCTCTTTATTGCAAATATTTTCACTAAACTATATGAAATTGTTTTTATAATGTTCCTAATAAAAACAACGACTAAAATAAAATAAAAACAAAGCTACATTTATTTGTGTGTAAGAAGGAAGAACCGCAAGATAGGCTGTCCGCCGGATTCTGTGAATCTTGCAATGAGTAATAATACGAAAGATATTCATTGAGTGAATACGAAAGAAATTCTTTAAATTTAATTCATCTTGAAAATTTTATCTCGTTACATTGGATTCTCGTCGTCGTATTGCTTTGTTCCTGAATATCTTTCTACAATTATTTATCGACTTCTTTAAAGACACATCTGTTTTGTTCATCAACATTGATACCATCATACCATTTAAAGCCTTGTCATTTTATTCAATGTTTGTTTCACAGTTGGTATGGGATATCTCCATTGCCTGCTATCTTCAACCATCGCTATCTCCCTTAACATTATTCCTTTTTATTTCTTTTTGATAGAAGAGTAAATATATAAAAATTAATATGAGGTCTCGACTCTGTATTATCTTGTACGTTGGCTGTCTCCAAACATTTCATTTTACCTTTGCAGAAAACGCGCGTTATCTCAATCTTTGCGTAATTTTGCTGAGCTGCATAGAGAATCACGCCCAAAAATATGCTTGATATTTTTCAACATCATTCTTTCCCGAATGTTTTTTTAGCAAATTAACAACATCAATCGCTTTCCAAACTTTAGAAGAAAAACTTCATGGATTGTACCGGGGCTGAGAAGTTTTTAGGGACAGAGGTGTCGAAATTCGGCAAGTTCATACTTTTGCTATTGTTTTTCACAACATTTTGGGCAAGAGCCACCCCCCCCCCCATTGTTATTTTAATAGCACTACACCACTTGTTAGGAAACAGCCAAGAAGATGATGGTGTAAAATAAGGTATGTTTCTTGTAACTAGGCCAGGAGCAGATGATTTTAGAAATGTATCTGCTTCAGGATTGATGTTGATAAAGAGGTGATCTTGACGATATTTTAGGAGTAGAACTGATTCTTAAATCACATTTTATGATTTCATTGAACATCAATTTCTTCGGACGTTCGCTATCTCGAACTGAGTTCATTTTCCCATGACAATTCGAGTCGAGATAGCGGACATGAACTGTGTTGTTGCTGCCTCGATTTCACTCGGCAACACAACCATTGCCTCGACTCCACTCGGCTCTGGCCTTTCGATAAGTGGCATCAAGCAACAGAGGTAGGACTCAAAATTCATAATTTGAAATCGTACCGAATCTGCTCATAAAATTGAAATAATTCCTTAATTTACAAATCTAAAGCTCTTTAAGACTGTCTTTTCCTATCTTTTCCGTTTATTTATAAGCCTCAATCGCAAAAATTCGGTTGGTTTGACTTGCAACATGATAAGTCAGTATACCTAAATCATGGCTTCAAATTTATTATAAGTTACCCAAGTTTGGAATTATCAGATTTAAATTTCATCGTAATGGTGACCTCAGTGTTATTAGTTGCGAAGCCTGCCGCATTTTTATGATGTCTTCACAAGACAGAAATAAGCAGCAAGTCAAGCCAACATCCTTATTATTTTAGATAGGCCAGATCTCGTTGATTTTGTATCGAGACGAGAGCAGGTCTTAAATTGAAAACCTTTTTAGTTTTTAAATTTGCTGATTTTAGGCAAGATGGCACCAGCTCTTGAGATGTCAGTTGGCCTTTCAAAAGGCCATAAAACAACAAAGAACACACAAAAGCCCAAACCATCAAGGCGAAAGGGGGTAAGGTTCTTCCCTTGTTTTGATTGTAGTAAACTTTGTCAGTAGAAGCCAAACATTAGTGTCAGTTATATAATTATGTGATGTAAATGATGAAGATTATATACTGGAATGTCATATACTGTAAAGTCATAATTAAATTACCAAAGCCTACATTACATGATGCAGTACACCCCTTAGTTGCCAAATTATTGCATCAAGCTTGCTCTTTAGCAGAGCTGATTCGCAAGGCTCACATTGAGAAATTACAATATACAGCATATAAATGAAGTGATCTAGTTACATTTGGAAAACAACCATGATATTATTAAAAACTTGATTATATATATGTTTATATATACACTTACGTTCCAAAAGTATTACACCACCTGCCACAAAATGGCAGCACTGCCACATAATTTGTTTAGCTAACCAAAATTCAAATCTTAAGTTAAATAAATGTTTTAAGATAACTGTTTGAGTCGAAAATAATGGAATTTTGAAGGTCATATTGTTTACAACTTTTTTAACGCAAGTGTATATATTTATATATATTCAAAACAATGAATTTGCACTTATACATATATATATACGTAATCATAAGGAAAATTCTGACAGGAGGAAAGTTCTTTCCACAAGGGTGCTGCCCAATTGTATCAAACCACTCTAGGTCAGGATCGAAATCCAGTTTGCTGCTTCAAAAAACCCCGCTCATTCCACTGAGCCAAATGGTCCAATGAAATGAGCGATGAATCCCAAAGCCAACACTGGAGATCTCACTGAAGCCAAAGCAGTTTTAAATTTGTTTTTAGAAATTTGAAATTTAGAAATATAGAAATTTGTCTGTTGATAGTTCCGTAGCACAGTGCTCAATACATTTGCATGTAGAGCTTAATATGAAGAGTGAGCTACTCACAAAACAGGCTTGTAGAGATAAAACATGTTAAGTCTTGAGTTGAGAATTACTAGAAAACTCCAATGATTTGATATTGGATTGAGACTATTTTCGATTTTTTCTAGCAATTGAACAAAAGAGTAAAGTTCTGCAGAGATATCATCAAGGAAGTTGTTGGATTTGCACCATATGAAAAAAGAGCAATGGAATTGCTGAAAGTACAAAAGGACAAAAGGGCATTGAAATTCATCAAAAAGAGGGTAAGTTGTCATGTGTGTGCAGGTCGTATATCAGAAGTAATGCCTTTTACAGAAAAGCCTTTCAAATCTCCTTTTTAAATGACCATTTACACTCCTTGGGCAGTTATTTTAAATTGTCAATTTTTACTCTGGGTTTTAATGCAAAAAAAGCATTTATTTGTGAGTGGCGTTTAACAATTAAGTCCATATTTGCATTTTTTGCTGTGTTTGGTGTGATTTTGAGCTACCAGAAATCGCAAATAAAATTGTTGATGTTGACATTCATGGGTAAGGATTCAGACATAGTTCTGGCTGGAATGTATGTTTGCTGACACCAAGTTTGGGGAGATCGCTTCACTGATTTTTAGCAAAACTGGATGAAAGATTCTCATGTATAACATTTTTCACTGATTGTTGCACTCTATCTTTGTTGAAGTGAGGCTAGTTGTTGTCTATGCTCTGGGAATGCCCTACATAGAAACAGTCAGTGTGTACTCAGGACCAAATATGACCTTAGAAGACACTGTCAGGTCACCATCCTTTTGGCAAAATATCAGGCTTTAGTTTGTCATAATTGTCAATGAACAAGAAACAATTAGTGCTAAACTTTTATGTACACCTCAGTGCTATTTTGTCAAATTAAATAACACTGAAATCAAGAAAAGATAAAGTAACTAGATGCTGATCCTGAGCTTGGTTTCTTTAAAGAAATTAGTGTAGCACTTTGAGAAAGTGTAGAAAATGACTGTATGTACCTATGACCCCTCTTTTTCTGAATACTTATCTTGGATTGTTAGTCTAATTAAATAGCATTTAATGGCTGCACTATCAAACATTTTATAAAAACTAATAAAGTTATTGATTTGGCTTTCTTTAATTGTTTCTTATTATTGTAGCTTGGAACACACAGAAGAGGAAAGAAGAAGCGTGATGAACTCTCTGCCATTCTGACCCAAATGAAACGTCAAAAGGAAAAGCAGTAGACTGTTTTCTTCTTATCATATGCATAATTTTGAATCCTGAGTGTCATTTTTGTGTATTATCTTATCAAGAGCTTTATGTGAAGACTATCAGATGGCCAACGGCTAACTCAGCGGGAGACCGGCAAGGAGGGCGGATGAGCTACGACTCCAGGGGTCAACGGCTTGGGGCGGAGGAAGAACTCCTGGAAAGAGGGATGGTGTCCTTTTAGAAACACTGTAGAGATGGTTCTGGGGGCCCATCTCTACTATTAGCCCTTTAGTTTTATCTATGATCATTACAACAAACCAAAACTCAGATTTTGGGATAGTTGGAGGGTCATGGTAGAAGATGGTACCTGATAATGATGATCAGATTATAGAAAATTCCTTTTCTCAGAATATTTCCAAAGCATGGATATCTATTTAATTGGCTATATCTTGATTACAAAATTTGTTCAACAACAGTCATGTGTAAAAGTGCCTGTTGGGGTCTTGCACAAGATATGTATTCGCTAGATGGAGAAGCAGGTGTATCTTAAGAACATGCTCAATAAGCAGACGTATAAGCAGTTTTGTGGTCACAAACAAAGTTTACGTTTAAAAGATTTCTAATAACCTCATCAATTACCAAAAAATTAATGAAACAAGTAAATGTGCAAGGACACAACACAAAATAGGGTCAATTTTTCATATACAGTTCATGACAATTTTGGTATAACTTTCTCATGTAAAATTCAAAATGATATGATGAGTTATATTCAGTGGCGGATCCAGACTACCGCCATTACCGCTCGAGCGGTAGTCAGATTACTCAAAAAATTATAGAAACAAGGATCATTTTCATGTTTATCCTACTACTTTAATTAAACCATAATTAATTATTGAAAATATTTGATCGCGCTGCAAACCAAGCCTTTCTTCCTAGGAACATGCCTGAAATTTCCACAGAGACAAAAATATTGTTTAATCCTTATCGCTATGGAAATTGCGTGCCAATTGCCGAGCCACATGTTTGCAAATAGAAGGCTAGCATGAGGGGATGATGAAATCATGGCTTGCTAGCTAGGGGGGTTGAGTTGGTGTAGAGCGGATTCGAGCTGCACTGAGCGGTAGTCAGCCTGCCTAAACCAATCAAATCGTCAGAAATCACTGCCAACCTGGGGGGATGCATACAAATTTTGTTGACAACCAATGAACAACCGAGTTGACTACCGCTCAGATGGGGGGTTGAGTAGTACTGCCGCTCAACGCGGCTCAAACGTTACAGAAAGATGGGGGGGATGCCTACATATTCTGCAAGTGGGCAAACTGTAACTTCAAAGCCGGTGTGACCCATTAATCTGTACAATACACAACTATTCGTAGGAATATATTTTAAAAGAATATTAAATTGAAAGTCAGGCCCACAATATTCGCCAAAAGTATGATTCTTTGTTTAACAAAAGTTGCTCTCAATAATTGCAAATTTTATCTAGCTTTTTAAACTTGTAATTTCCAACAGGTCTGATTTTCATAAGTCATTGTCCGACTAAATGCGAGCTTTAGGCGACACTTCTGCCAAACATTTTTTTTTTAATTCTTTGGTGTTCCTCGTCTAAATTCCGTAAATTTTTTTTAGAATATCCATCCTCAGAATATTGAATAAGATTATTTATTTCTTCTCAAGCTTGTTGTAAGGATACATGAAATTTCAGTAAAGCACCGCTTGTCTCTTGAAAATGGTCTACATAAGAAATTATAGAAAGCAATAATCATTTTAGAAAACCGGGTGTGACCAATAAATGGGTGTGGTCTAAAGGGTGTGGTCAACCCTCTATCTCATTTCGGCGGTAGTCAGATTTTTGGCTGGATCCGCCACTGATATTGAGTACAAAATGTGACATAAAGTGTTTTGTGGCAAAAATGGCTGAAAAGTGATGGATGGGGTTGAGTGCTAGAAGACACATAGGGCTGAAACCTGACTTACAGATTTATTTTTTATGTTTTAAGCAACATGCAAAGATTAAGGGAGACCTGAATTTAAACCTAAAGAGTAACAAAAACAGCAAAAGTAGAAGGTGGACATTTTGACATCAGCCCTCGGGCCTACTTTCACTTTGCCCTGGTTGTAAAGTAACATGAAGGATTGTAAGAAAGGCTGTGTTGTAAATAGGGGCAGAACGTGACAAAAAGAGCTGTAGTGAATGCTTTGTGACAGAAATAAAAGGTGACTTTTGGACAATCGATAAATGTCTGAGTGATGTACAAAATATTCACAAAATATCACATAAGAATAGATTTTATAAGAATATTTAGGCTTGAAATACACCAATTCGAGTTGCACCATTAGACTTGAAATACACAATTTTGAAAAATGCCTCAAATTATTTTGTACAAAATTTTTGACCTCAGATTGGGATTACGAGAAATGATTTTAGTCTACTTGGAAGTTTTCGTGATGGTATTGCTCAGGATATTGATTTTATGACGACATAAAGATAAAAATTTTATAAGGGATTTGACCGTGATTGGCGACTAGGGGGGTAAAGTTCCCCCCGAATGATTTTTGCGGTCAAATCCCTTACAAGTTTTCAAACTTCATTTCTGCGTAACATCTACAATATAGGCTCAAGCAATATGAAAAATTTAATTCGGCCTAAAATTATGGCGATAATACCATATCTGAGCTTAAAAAAGTCGTATAATTAAGTTTGGAGAAATTTCTAAAACGAGGTCGTAAGTCGAATTGGTGTATTGTCGAAGTTCTAAAACAGCCATTCTAAAATTTTATCGATAGTATTTTATCTATTATTTAAACAAACACGACAATCTAATTTGACGAAAAAGTGTCTGAGGTAGACATTTTTTTATTAGAACCAAAGGTCGATGTTGAGTACTCCAGTTTCTTAATGCTCTGGAAATTTCAATTCTCATTGTTTCTTAAGAGTTTCTTAATTATGATGTTATGAAATGTTCGTGACCTTTCTTATTACATCAAGAGATTCGCTTCCGTTCTTATGCTGCATTTAGATGTGGGAAGTATATTTTTATTCCTTGTGTCTTAAGTTCTAGGCCAACAGGGTAATCGTGTTCTTGGATTTTACAAAGTTTCGTTGTTCTCAGTTTTATTACGATTTAATTTAGCATGCAAAACGGTTCAGGTACACAAACGCATGGAAATTTTGTTTATACAAAAACGTACCCAAGCACTTAAACAATAGGGTACCAAAACGAACTTGGAATTTCGCATGCAAAACGGTCCTGGTACAGAAACCCATAACAATTTTGCTTATACAAAAACGTACCCAATCTTTTAAAAAACAGGGAACTGAAACAAATGGTGGAATTTAGCATGCGACCTGGTCTGGGAACACAAATGTTCTGATTCATAATGTTCAGAATGTAAAGAACAATCGAACTATTTCTAACAAGGGGGCACTAGCAAGAAGCGGTGCTGTGATTTCCCTTGTTAAGTTTATGCAAAAAAGTACAACATTAATGGCGACTCCAAAGTTTTCTTGATTGAAAAGTGTGAAATTTTGAACAAAAAGAGCATTGTGTTCTATTTGTTGATTATAATGTGTCATAATATCGAACTACGATGAAATCACTTGATTTGAAACACATTGCGATTCTCAATGTTATACTTTTGCATAGGGTACCAAAACGCATATGACAAAACGCATTGTCGAAGTTGCAAGATCTTCTAAAGTAGCAAGATCTATTTGCTAGCTATTTGTTTTTATAGTTGCTTAGTAATGATATATCCCATTGCGCGAGTGACAATCATTGAAGGGCAAGGACATAAACTAAACTACCAGAGCGACATAAACTACCAGTAAAGCCTCTTTTTATATGGTTTTAGCCCCCCTCTTTTTCTAGACCCCCCACTATTCTCAACGCTCCACGGTGCCTGGCAAGAACTGTTCATTCGAAGCAAATAATTTTAATATTCATTAAAGGGCACGAGCCCACTAGGAACAGTGGCATTTACGGCCTTGAGAAGTTAACGTTTATTATGACATGAGAACATCTTTGCATTATGTCACATGCTGCAACGAAATTTCCTGTTTCACAAAACAGTCCCATTTGCCAAACAGTCCCAAAACGTCTTTTCGCCATGTAATCAACTTGCATATTTTCCAAACTATAGACGCAGAGGACCATTTTGTGAATACTTCCCCAGTTTTGAAATGTTTCCTTCGCAGTGATGCTCTTGAAAAATTAAACAATTTAAAATGACAGGTTTGTTACATAAGTCCTTGCATTCGCTCCATTTTTTGAAAAAGGAAATATTCAAAGTTTTTAAACTGCCAGTAGCAAACACTAACGTGGAGATGCATAACATGAAACTTCAGAAATACGCTTTTTATAGCAAATTTCAACGTAACCACTTGCATGTGTTTTTCAAGGCGAAGGACATCGTAACGCGGCCACGCGGCAGCAGAGAAATTCAAACAAGGCCGTTGAGATCCTTCAACGCGCACTTTTTGGCGAAATGTTGACCCCATCCCACCTTGTAACGGGACATAACATAACTTTTAACCCCCCTTCCATCCTTTACGTAACAAAATTCAGCCCCTTCCCCGAAATTTCTTTCTTGTTTTTGATGTTTTCTTCTTAATGGTTTTCTACCAAAAATCAGACACTTGACATTTTTAGTAAATAAAAAAGGTTTTCCATTCGTTTGATTGCCTCTTCACTTATTCTGCCAGTTAATTGGCGTTAATTGGCTGTAAGAAAATCTGCCTTGATCTTTTTCCAAACTTTTCTACATTGATTTGAGCTGCATTCTTATCCTTCTTTGGATGAGCTTCTTCATGAGTTTCAACTCAGGCTTTAGAATCCTTCGAGCTAGCCGATTCTGCCATGCTTTGAACTGTTTTAAAATGAATTAAATATGCAAGAACACTTCTGTCTTTTTTCTTCGGTGAACATCGTTCAATTCAAGGCCAAAATTATCATTCGAAAAAACTCGAATTGAACTTTTTTTGCAATGCAATGTTTTCTTTTAACTTTAAAGAAAAATTGCATAAATGTGCGCATGTGCGTATAACTTCTTGCAAAAAGGGATCATTGCAATGAAATGTGTTATGCTAAACTTGCCAGCTTTACCTAACAGGATCACTTCAGCTCCCCTCAACGTTTCATAACAAAATCAACCATCTCCCTCCCCTTCCGAGTGTTACGTCGCGGTTGAACCATCCTTATTCGATGAAGCTCCACGTACAGAAATTCCTAAAATGAAGGAATGACAGAGCGAATCCTCGTCCAATCCAGCCAGTTGGGGTTAAACAGGGGTAACTTCATTCAATTCAGTGGGGACGAAGAATTTTAGGATTGCTTTTCAAGAAGGGGGCACGCTCCTTCGCTTCTCTATTCCTACGCAGCGTAAAATACAATTCAATTCAAGAATTATTCGGTAAATTATTGCCACTTGAAAAGCACAAGAAAATTGCGGCGTGACATATTGGTGCCGGAGTGTTGGCCCTTTTTGGCAAAAACTGTGGGCAAACTCGATATTAATGTGAGTATATCTAATTATACGATATATTAGTCTGGAGGCCTTAAGAAACTGTACATGCATGGTAAGGTTGTGGCGAGAGGGGGCTTCAAAACCGCGAGTAGTTGTGAAACAGCCTGAGGACTGTGAGTAAAATTGATTCAAAATGAATACTTTGTGGGAAATAACAAAGCACCATAATGTTTGTTTTATGCAATTTTTTTCATCGTTCAATTTCAATGTATTTAGCATGTGCGATTCTTTGGAAAGCAATGCCCATGGGTCAAAACGTTTTGATGTGCTTTCAACCTCCAGGCTATTATGTAAGTATGGGTCTTAAGGAGACGTCTTCAAACTTCCTTTAAGCTATTTCTGACAAGTAGGTTTAGTACCAACAATGTATTCATTCGACGAGTAAAGCATCTCTTAGGGAGAAAATTTTCAATAACAACATTATTAAACAAGGCTACAATGTTTTGTTGAAGTATGCCATCAGCATTACCATTATTGTCTGTTCCAGGTAATTTTTTATCTTCATATTTGCCAAAAATGGATCATATAATTGGAATATTCATGTTAAAGTTAGTTTGTGCCACAAATTGCATGTTGTTTTGACTGTCAGGCAGTGAATTATTCCCATTTTTAAAATAACTTAATCCTATATATTTCAATAAATAATATTCACTATAGCAGCAAATTCCATTCAAATCTAAAGTAGCATCTAAATATTCAAATTAACATGACTGAACAGTCTAATTAACATGAAGCTTTCTGTATAAGCAAATTTCAAATCTGGAGTCCATTTTTGAGAAAGTTCTGTAGATAGTGAGATACAATCGATAACATCAACTCTGAAAATATAATTATTTATTGAGCATGAAGTGACATATGTACTTATAGCAATCGCTTCCCAAGACAAGTTGAAAGCTCACAGGCACAATCTTCTTATTAAACCTTTGGGAAACCCAATCCAAGTATGCAAGGAAAAATTTGATTATTTATTTCTTTGATTTTTGGACAACCTCAACAGTCATGTGCGTGTGTTTTCTGATTGACCTATTTCGATCCAAAACTGGGTATTTTAGCGTAGAGTTTTCCATCTATGTTCAAGTAAAGGGGGTGCCTAAGTCACGGTTAAAGCAAATAAAAATTGAAAGAAGTAAAACATCACACTCCTGACTGAGGCTATTACATTAAGGCAACCGTCAGATACTAAAGGGGCCTATTAAGTCATCTGTCGATTTTCTTTGAAGTACATTCTATGTATTACTGATTTAGCTCGCCTCAGCAAGTGAGGGGAGCGATTCACAGCTCACCTATAAAAATACAAACGGCAAGGCCTGACATCATGTCATATGTGCGCACATGATTTGTTGAGGTTGATGATAATTTAAATCACAATGACAGATAAAAACAACACCTGAGATGTCAACAAGAAGCTTCAAAATAAAGCACTCCATTTCATATTTAATTTCTGTTTAATAAGACAAAACCATGGACTAACTCTGACCTTCTTTTCTCAAATCATTTATCAATTTTTTATAGGAACTGATTGAGAAGGAACAGGATTTTGGAAGACACTTGAATGATTGTCATAGACTAGATTCAGAATGACAATGCAAGCAAACAGTAGAAGACTGCCAAATGCAGAATTATTTATCCCTTTGACACCTGTGTTTCCTGTGGACCATAATGGAGGAAGAAATGACTTTAGAAATCGCGTTCATTCTCTTCCTAGCATGAACTTTAATCCAAATTTCACACCACATTCAAGTCATAGCAAGTCACATTCTCATGGACAAAATTCATCATCAATAAATAGAAAAAGGAGAAGTTACTCATCAGCACAGCCAAATGGACTTATAATTGTCAATGATGAACCTGATAACAAGAAAAAGAAAGGCCCAGCCAATGTCATTCCAGCAGACATTGACCCAAAGATGTCATATTTTGACACGGTTTGTGCATCTCGTTCTCTGCTCATCTGCAGTCGTAATAATTATTACACAATATCTAAGAAATAGATTATTATTTTATAACATTCACATTTCATCGTCCCACTAGCCATGAAAAAAAACAATTAAGTCCCCATTTATCCAGGCTGTTTTATGTAGAATTTTTGAAAAGGCTCATGATACAGACAGGCTTATGATATATTAAAGTTCATGTCTTTACCAATTTACACTTCCTGTCTTATAGGAACCTGTGTTAGTATTGATTGGTTCCTATATCAATTCCGTTGCAAGTTCTTTTATGGATGTGCTGTCGTTTTTATGTCTTGTTTAAACGTGCAGATTACACGGGCCAGCAAGCGATGATGTTACATGACCGTTGCTTCTTGATGAATTTACTGAATGACTACTATGTACAGGGCCTATACACATAAAATGAGGGGACGCTACAAAAGTGTTGTTGGTTATGTTTCTGTGGATATGTAGACAATGGAAGGTGTTAATGATTATGATACAGTCAATAAATTGATAATATTCAACCAAGATGGTCACTACAGCCTTTTTTAAGTTAATCAAGTCTGCTATGGAGTATAATGTTCTATCATTGATTTCATAATGCTATCTATGATATCATAAAAGCAAGGCTCCGGAGTAAGTATAGTTGCATTCTGCATCTCTGACCATGTTACAGAACATGTGAGATTATCTCTTTACCACTCTACTGCTAAAGAACAAAAACAATGAAATGTCGGCTGATACAATGTACCTTTAATGAGGCTGGGGAGACTCACAGCCTAACAACTATTAAAGGCGTACTGTCTCTCTAATAAACTGAAACATCATAACCATACACTGTAGCACTGCTGTAACAAGTAATTTTGTCAGGTTTTGCTAAATAGATCCATGGTGAATTTATTTACAATCAAATATATTAGATACAAGGTTAATGTGTCATATGTCACTGTCATGTGATTTTTTGGGAAAATTCAGACCTCTGATTGGCTTAGCAGGTAGAAGCTGCTTTTTTGTACCGATTGTGATTAAACTTGTTTGATTTTGATTGGTCTGTGTTTTCTTTCTCCTTATGGCATGTATTTTCTCCTTATGGCTTGGATCGCGTTAAAGTTAATGTTTCGTGTGATTTTCTATTATCTCTCTTTGTAACTACATCCATCTATACTATCAGTTTGGCTATTTTCTATGTTTTTGTTTGTCATACCATTTGAGTTTTATAAATAAATAACATGTTTTGTTTTCTCTTGAATCCAGTTATCAAATGAAATGATGCAATATTCAGCTGCATGTGAGCAAACTCAGGAGCTTCTAGAGAAAAAGCTGAGACTGCGTTCCACGCTCTTAGGAATATTTAGAAGAGAGTTTCCAGGTATTTACAAATTGTTGATGTCAATCTCTGCAAAGAAGGTTCTTTTCTAGAATAATTAAACTATCTTTTGGTGGTACAAAACTTGTAAATAGCTTTGAAAAAAGCAAACATTCAGTAAACTAAAGCTTTTCATCTGACACTCTTCAGAGTTTAAAACGTCAGAACATAGATCGAAAACTCTACGCTAAGAAATATATATACCCAGTTGTGGATCGAAATAGGCCAATCAGAAACACGAGCACATGACTGTAAAGGTTGACCAATCAGTTCCGCTTGCCTATTAGAATGTTACCAATGGAGTCCTAAGGTGAAAACGAACTCCTTTTGTCTACACAGTAGCGGTTTTTTCGTGCTTATGTAGATAGATATATATTTCTTAGCGTAGAGTTTTCGATCTATGTTCTGACGTTTTAAACTCTGAAGAGTGTCAGACGAAAAGCTTTAGTTTACTAAATGTTTGCTTTTTTCAAAGCTATTTAATAATTAAACTAATCAATTTGGTTATTGTGGTTATGTTATGACTAGATGGTCAGTCTTTCTAACATCATGGCTGCCTTTTGGAACAGGCACTACAAGAATTTAGAGTAAAAAGCAAAAAGGAAAGAAATCCTCAGAGAAATATTGCAATATGGTTGAAGAATAAATTGCAATCATTTGAGGTTTAACGGTTTGCAGGAATGGCAGTTTCATTTGGCTATCAGTTAGGGTTTGAATAAGCCAAAATTATTAGTAATATCTCATCATGAATTCAAATTTTCATAGCAAAAGAAATGATCTCATGAAATCTGTCCTCCCCTGGTGAACAAAGCATTACTACGACAATGAGACATATGACATGATGTTTATGTCATAAACATTTTCAAGAGCAGCTTAATCTCTCACAGACTCCAATGTGAACTGATGAGATCTCAGGTTTCCGTTTCTTTAGGTAGAACTTTTTTCTCAATAAACTTAAAGTTACTTTTAAGCTAGGTACCGTAAATTGTCCATGTTGGCAAGCATTTGGGAAAACATTTGTTTTAATGATGCATATCAATTATGACATGTCATTTACCCATTGAATATTTTGCACAAGGAATAGAAACAGAGAGGGAGACTTTCTAATAAATCCTTTAAGTTAAGTTTTGTTATAGATATCTCAAAGTTAAGAACAAAATGTGAATAATGATTAAGGAGTGAAAGAAATATGTGATATAAAAACTTCGTCATGGGACTTATATTTATAAGAGCAGTTTGAGTTTTTACAGAAATTCTGTATTTATTTTCTTCTATAGAATAGCAGTTATTTATTTTCTTCCATTTTTGCTTTGTTGGAGGACCCGGCACAAAAGAGATAAATTTGCAAAAAATGTTCCAGTATTTCAGTGCCTAGCAAGCTGTTTGAGGGTGCTGGGTAATGTCATATTCTTTCTCAAAGTTAGATATGAAATCCATTTTAAATCTGCCAATTAGTCATTTATTCATCTGGTTTTGTTTTTTGTCAGGTGCAAGCCTTCATCTGGTTGGCTCGTCTTGCAATGGTTTTGCCTCCCAATCAAGTGATGCAGATTTTTGTTTGATGTTGACTCATTGGAGACACGTAAGTTTGTTATCAAAACTCTGATTTTGGCTTGTTAATGGTAAATTAACCCCAAGTCATTTTTCATGTTTTAGCATTTATAAAAGTCAGGTTTTTTTTAAATAGGCCATCGTACTACAGGCTACTAATAGGTTGCCAGGCTCTAAATTTATTTAGTATATCGTAGTTTGCATTTTAATGGAAATGCAACGTATCCAGCCAAGAGTCTAAGCTTGGTAATTTTCTTTATCAACTCCGTAAAGACACTGTTAGGAACAAGTAACCCAAGCATTAAGCTGCAATCGTGGCATTCCATGTCAAGTGCGACATCAAAAGACAAGACTCTTTGAACTTCAATCGCATAGATTCTCTTCTTTCAACTTTGATTAAACTATTGACTCTAACAGCACTAGATCTTACCCATAATTCCAATCGTTTGTTTATTACATCTATTTAATATTGCTTTGACCCTAGATCGGTGTTTAGTGATGCTCTTAAATTCATGTAATTAGCGGGCAATTGGAATAGTGAGTTTAGTTTTTGGCCAATGCTGTTTGAGTCAAATAATAAATCAAAGTGTAAAACGTTAAGGGAATCTTTGAGATTGAGGCCCAATGCCCTTTCCGACTTGGAATTCCTCCAAACACATTTATCGGCTACTGATCAATAAGTTCGTTTTTATTTCCTCTAGTTTTTCTGACTTTAGAGATGAATAATGGTTCATCCGAGCCTCATTTTTAATTTTATCTCCTAACATTTGACCCAAGTAATTGTCGCAACTTAAACTTTCTTCCATCTTTTTGCAGGTCGACCAGAGATTTGAAGCCGTTCACTACCTTAGAACACTACATAGATTATTAAAACACTTCCGTATGTAATTACTTTATATATATATTCATTATATCATGCTACAAATTCTAATGTAAGCAATTCGAAAACAAAGTAAATGAAAAATCTAGTTTGTTATAAATAAATTGTGATTTTCTTCATTCACAGCATATATAAGAGAGCTTCAAGTTATTAGAGCAAAGGTTCCAATTTTAAAGTTCAAAGATTCTGTGAGGTACATTTGATGTAATTTTGAAATATCTACATTCGATAAAGGCTGGTTTTCATATAACATATTTCACCGTATTTCATCGCATTGCAGAGTCTACGATAAATTAAGATTACTTCGTTATATGAAAACCAACCAAATTTTATGAAAACCACCTATCGTAAATAATCCTAGTAGAACGTAATTCATCGGAAGAAATCAAACAATTTTGTTTCTCCCGCCAAAATACGTTGAATTACGATGAATTAAGATGAATTACGTTTTTCGGTTTTAATATAACGTGAAAATCGTGGAACCTGAATTGCGATAAAATGCGTCGAAATACGTTACACGAAAACCAGTCTTAAATAATATTGAATTTGTGCATTGAATTAGCTTCGATTCATCAATTCGATTTGATATTTGATCCAGTTTTCCTGGACTTCTTCCTCGTTGTAAATAACAAGTCTCCCTGTTTAGTTTTTATTCTTCCGCAATTAATCCATTTCTCACCCTCGCGTTCCTTTCTTTTCAGTGCTTGTGAATGTGATATAAACATTAACAATTCAGTTGTGAGTATAATTCCCGCTTTTCTTTCTACTCTTTAAATGTTTTAAGCTCTCAGAAAAATTTATACCCATTGTATTCCAAAATCGATGTGAATCGCTATTTCAACAGGTTTTGACTAAATCTTTCGTTGGGATGTGTGAATTTCAAATTTGGGCATGTCATGAATATGGAAATATATGATGAGCTGAAGAGCTTAAGCAACACAAAATTTGAAAATCTTTTTCTCTCTTCACTTGTGAAAGTTCTAAAACAGATTGTTCACTGGCAGCTTTTGATGGTCGCTATCATGTCAATTATTAACTTGGCTTCTTCCATAAAATTCCAACTAAACTGATTGCACTAGAAAGCCAGTTGACAGGTTCAGAAGCTCAAATAGGTTCAAGATCGAAATGTCAGTTTGTGTTTATGAATAAACTCCCAAGTTATGGTATGACAGGTAGAGAGCCAGTCTGGTTTGCCTTTTCGAGATCCTATTTTCAGTCTATACGGGAGTTTTTCAAGGCTCAGTGTTTGGTCCATTATTATTGTTTTTGTTCATATGAACGAAAAAGCTTGATGCCCAAAAGGCATTTTAAAAACTTGAGCTTTGGAATACGCGATCAAGGCTTTTAGAAAATTACTTACATAAAATGTCAAAACCAAATCTTTGCATGCCATCAAACACGTAAAGAAAAATGTTTGTAGCCTTTCTAAAACGTCCTTTTGCGAAAATCAGAATGCCTAAAGAAAAAGGTTATTCGGCCATTGGTCAACTTTTCCTCAACAATCTAGAAAGCACAAAACGTATTTTACTCGTAAAATCATCGAACAAGCGAAATTGTTTTAATTTTAATTGTTTAGGAATTTTACTACATTTTTGCAGAATATCCCGGCTTGTGTAGGAAGAAAAATTTCTTTTTCTCTCTTTGATCTTTGAAATAATGAAAGCTTAGCTGTCGCCGATTAGGCAAAAAACAAGGAGCCAGTCAAAGACGTCATGTTTCAAGTCTAGATCATTACTTTCGATCTGGACCTGGAAAGGACGAAAAGTATTTTAGTCTGCTATGTTTCAGGTTTTTTCATGGGATCTTCCAAGAAAGATCTGTTCTACAAAGGCCTAAATTGTGTTTACAAACCAAAACACGGGCTGTGTTTACTAATAAATCCATAAACAGTGCTCGTGAATTTCGATATTGCGGTTCCTTATCACACGGACTGACCGATTCTAGATTGACAAAGATGAATTCTTTGCACGAATTATATTCAATTTTTAGTTTCATCTGTATTCGACTCTGTTATTCATAGCGTTTGTTAACGATTTTAAGACCATTTTGAAATGAGGATCCGCCAATATGCAACCAAAAGCAACCAGGCTTCTGTGGAATTACTGCCATCCATCTTGTTATTCTGCCATCCATCATTATGTTTGCCATTCTCTTCACAGTTATTTCTTTTTCACTTGCAGGGAATTCGAAACACGCATCTTCTCCGAACGTATTCCCGAGGTACGTTGTGAGATAAGTAAACGAGTGAACTTTAAACTTCATTGAAACTATTTTGTTATTTACTTTTTGTACCTTACTTTAGTTTCTCGTTGCCAAAATGCTCTTATTTGTTCTATATTTTCGAAAGATCTGAAGGATATACCTTAAACTACAGAGACAGCTTTAGGTAAAACTTGATGCAATATCCCCAAGCCAGTTTCCAAGGAAAAGCTGTTTATAATAAATCCAAAACTGATCCATTTTTAATTACATTGTAACTGTGGTTTCATTATGTTCTTAAAACTAATGTTTTATGTCGTTGTTTTTTAGTGGACAAGCGGGTTCGCCCTTTAATAGTGGTCGTAAAAAGATGGGCAAATCTACAAGGAATTAACAACGCCCACCAGGGGACTCTGTCTAGCTACTCGCTTGTTCTCATGGTGATTCATTATTTGCAAGGTAGCTATCTAGATTTCAATTTATTATCAGCCGAAAAATGAGTTTGCCCGTTCATAGTGGTCGTAAAGTGATGCACAGATCTGCAAGAAATTAACAACGCGCGCTAGGGGACCTTGTCTATTTGCAATAATGTTCCCATGGTGATTCCTTATTTGCAAGGTAGCCTTCTAGTTGCTAGTTTCTTTTGGTCGGCAAGCAAATCCACCTGCAGATGTTGATCGAAAAAGAGGTGCAAATCTGCCTGAAATTAACAACGCGCGCTAGGGGATCATGTCTAGTTACTTGCTTATTCCCATGGTGATTTCACTTTCTGGTAGGTAGACGTTTAGATATCAATTGCATCATCTAATACCTCGCATCATGGCCTTCCTGAGTTTTTAATCGTTCCATTTAGTCAGCTCCGTATTACAGAGGCTTATAATTTCATAAGAAGAAATGCCTTTGTAAGGATCGAGATCACACATCTATCATACGGTAAAAACTCGATCTAACTCCTTCTATTTTACGCCTATCAAAGAGTGGAATAATTTTCCCCGTTTTCTCTGGAAGCATAAGTAAATAAGTAACAAATGCCAAAATATTCTTGTGGAGTCGCTGTTTTCTGATTTCTGTTAATGACGGACACCGGAAATCAATTTGTTCCAAAAAATTTTCCAACGGTCAGGTACCCATCAGAAAGCGGCTAGTAAGGTTGGCCTCACGTGCGTCTTTTTTAGTGAGGCTTCACTTTGAATCGTTTTAACAAGTTTAGATGCTTCAAACAAGTAGCTCATCTCAACACTTTGAGCCATGACTTGTGATTCATGGCCCTACTAACGCGACGTTCTGCCATTTGTCCCCACATCTTTCTCGTATTTGAGAAACAGTTAAACTTTTTAATGCGAAGTTTATCTGTGACGTAAAATACGTGTTTTGTTTTGCTTGCAGCTGGCACAAAGATCCCTGTCATCCCCTCCCTTCAACAGCAGTATCCTGTAAGTGCTCTAAATTTTCGTTTTTCTAAATTTGTTGTAGGAAGATGTTGTTATCCCTTTTGCTTTTGTTGTTGTAGTTGTCGCTGTTGTTGTTGTTGTTGTTGTTTCTATATGGATAACTTAGCCCAGTTGTTAAACAGACTTCCTACAGACTAAGATTGAAATTAGTTCAAAGAACGTTTCAGTAAATCAGTATCGTCAATTGTACTGAATATTTTGATGTTGTACAAAGTCCACGTTATAGAAAGGTGGCAATTTATTACTGAATTTATTTATTACATTCCTGTTTAGATCTCATGGATTCTATTTAGAATAGAATTTCTTCAAAAAAGCGAACGCCTCATACTCGTCAAGTTAAGGTCCCTTCTTTCTAGGCCTATATTACGCATCCAATTAGAAAAGGCTTTCTTCCGTTAACCTTTTCCTTCTGTGACTTCAATGAAAGGTCTCAAGAACAAAAACAGGCTACCCGTGCTATTGTCGATTGGCTTCTTCGTTATATGACCCTCGTTATTGAATTCCCAGGACTATTTCAGACAAGACCTGAACCTCGACTATCTACCGATGTTTGAACCTGCTGACATGATTCCTTGCAACAGGTTTGTACCTCGTGCTTTTCAAGTTTTTCTGAAACTCTGTCGTCATTCCAAGGCGAGCTCTTGATTTTCTGCCGCATTTTCAACGTAGGCTAGTAATACGTGGACCAGTTACCATCCATACTCCTCATAAAGTACTTTTCTGTTTACTGAACTCCAGTGCGAAACAGCTTCAAGATGTCTCATTCCAAATGAGCTTTTCAACCAAGAACTTCTCAAGAACATATTTGTAAAAGGCACAGGAAAATGAACAATGTCATATCAAAGTGGTTTTCTGTTTACTTTTGGCCACTATCCAATGTTTATACCCTGACAAGTGTCGGATGAACAGTGCTTTAGTATGATATGACATGTTTCCGCCATTTTGTGCTATTCTCAATTATTGCGGTACCAAAGGCGTATTCGGTAATTGTTTTGTCTTTCATATTCAGCATCTTTTCGTGTGTTATTGCCATCTTCACGTGAAACAACCTCTTTGAACAAACAATTTGTCCCCCAAAGGAGATTGCTGTATTCAGGTTTTGCTCTAAAGCAGGATAAATGCATATTTTAAACAGTAATGGCTTCAATATTTCACTAGTCGACCGTCAAATTGGCCCAGATCTCTTTGTCGTCACCACCCCCCCCCCCCCCCCTCTAGCGTCAGTTGTGGTCATCATACACACGAAAATGTTTAAAATATATCAATTTTAGTTTAGCATGCATACTTATTTCTTATTGGTTTGTTACATTCGATGTTTTGCAGATCGGCCAATAAACAAACAGTAGGAGAACTTTTTGAAGGATTCCTCGACTATTATGCAAACAACTTCAGGTAACGATTTCATCTTGTATTTTCATCTTTGATCAATTTATATCGTGTCGCTTTCTTTCGCAGTCTACTGATATTTTAGTTCTAGGCTGAGATTAAGTTTCATTTTTATAGCAGAAGACACTATATGGGTTACCAGCGTTTCATCTGAATTATAAAGGACTTTGGTTTCTTTAAAGCAAGACGCAGCTACAGTATGGTTGGCAGGCTTTGCTCCGTGGTTGAGAGGCTTTGCTCCGTGGTTGAGAGGCTTTGCTCCGTGGTTGAGAGGCTTTGCTCCGTGATTGGGAGGCTTTCCCCGTGACTGGGAGGCTTTCCCTGTGATTGGAACTCTTGTGGGGGTAAATTTAGGAAAATCATGATGCAAATGAGAAGTGTACATTTTTGCATCCCCGGGACATCACCTTTCAGCCATTTAAATATTTCTCACTGAAAAAAGTTTGTTACTTTGGCGGGGCAATGTATTTGATTTTGTTTACCTTTTGTTTACTCTTGGTTTTTGATCATATTTCATTCTGTGTTTATTTTGCTGTGTTTGATCGGCAGGTGGGATTTCCTGGCAGTGAGCGTCCGGCTCGGCAGGGCTACACCGAAGGCACTGAGTCCAGGCGCGAGGGAAAAGCCAATCTTTATCGAAGGTAATCATGCTTGCAGACCTTTTTTGATGCGACACTCCTGTTAGAAAATATAAAAAACACAGCTTAATGAGACAGCCGAATTTCGCAACTTCTACTTAGATGCCTGTGAGATTATCAAACAATCGGATAAATCAGCTATTTAATTTATTCAAGCTTTGCAGTGGATGAATGGTCGCCTTCGTTTGCTATTTTCTCTTCATATGGCTTACAAATAACTGAACCTTCGTTAAAATGCTAGTAACAGCTAACCCCTTAGTTTTAAGCGCCCCTTCATAAAGTGATGTCTTGTTAGGCCAAAATAATATCTCCCGTTGAAGTGCTGTCTTTTCTGCATATGCTATTACAAAACTCTTTCGCCTTAATGATGTGTATGTCATCGCACTAGTTTGAAGGACAATATTTTCTTTAGGCTGTCTTGTAGGTATCTTTATTTAGCCAGAAGAAAAGGCATTTTACAAACAAAAGTTTTTGAAATGAAGTTATGCTTTTGTATCTGATGACGTCATACAATGACAATTTCGTACGATGACTGATCTCACTTCCTATTCTCTAGAACCATTTGATCTCACCAACACGGCACGATCAGTCCACTGTCAGAGGAACTTCGACAAAATCAGGTTCCAATTCAAAAAGGTTTGTTGTTTTTACAAAGCATTTAGCGCACCCTCCGCGTCCGAATCGCGCGTGAAAGGCGTCATGTCGCGTCAGTCTGTCGTTCACACTCATCAGTTCCAATAGGCTGTGTGGTGCATTTGCAATCAAGAATTCATTGAAAATAGTCTAGCAGACAAATTAAGAACAATTCGAGAACAGCCAGTCGAACTTCACTTTACTGGTTCTAATGAAATGAGTGTAGCTCGAAGATGGATCATTTTACGATACAGGCCTAAAAAAGTGTTAAGACAAATGACATCATAAACTGACTTTCCTTGATGAAGAAAATGGTGAAGAATAATATGTTTAAGCTCATTTTTTTCTTTCTTTGTGGGAAAATAGTATTCAGTATTTGGAACCCTTTCGAGTCCAGCAAATTCATGTAAAAAACACTCTAGTCGCATTCTCCCTGAAAAATGGTTGAAAATGCAAATTTGGTAGGTTTTTTGTTCCCACAAGATGAAATGTTAAAAGTTCAAGCCCCCTTAAAAATAGGAACCGGTTTTATAATGACAAACTTCACTGATCTTTAGATTAGGTAATATTCTGTAAATTATAGGTAATATTCTGTTTTGACTGACATAAAAATCACCACAAGTGCTTGACAAACCAATTACCCCAAATGTTTGAGGTTTCACCCCCTTTTTTTGGAAACGCCCCCTACAATACATGATCAACATGCAATTTCGAAATCTACGCCCAAAACTACATAAGAGAAAGTTGATGTCATAAATTCTCCAGTCGGGTGACAATAGCGCCCGTCTAGCCTCTGGGCTAACAAGGCTAACAAGTCTTGTACCTACCACCATTCTTCTTTTCAACTGCAGACATTAAGCCTAGCAACACACCCAAAACCACAAACAAAAACCTACTTCACTTTTAATAACTAATTTTGTACGTTGCCTATTAGAAGATTTCGTTTTTCTTTTTCAATAATTTGCTACGTCTTGATTTTAAGTTTCAAATTCCTCTTTCTCTTGCGTCACGTTGCACTGCTGATATTATACTGAAAAGACAGAATTTAATATTATTTTTGATAGTCTATTTAAAATCCTTTTAAAGAATCATGCTAAAGAATGTCCATTTTTCAGTGTCTCAAAAAACCCTTTCTAGCGTACGTGCGGGCACTTAGATTCTTATGCATGGATTTGCACTGCATTGTAGCAAACAACATAGCACATTTTCAGTCATGTCCTCAGCCGCTGACGTCACAAAATTTCACTTAATATATTGTAACATGACATTCTATGCATTTTAAGTTCTTTGCCTTTATATTTTAGATTTATGCTTAATGTTTGCTATCCTCTTTTCCAAAATTTGGTCTCATTGGTTGTGACTGCATACAAGCTACTTTGAGACGTGGAGATTCTACACCAATACGCTTGCTCTGTTCTGTTCGCTCTGTTCATTCGCGCAATCAATTTTTAAATCATCTATCTTGCTTCATTGAATAACCCCTTTTGTAATGCAACCTCTATTGTATGTGTATTTAATTTCACGCCCTTATAACGACATTTCTCAAATGTTGCAAGAAAGTCATTTGAGTTTCCAACGTTTTCTAGGCACACCAGCTGATGAAAGAGAAACCTCCGCTGGCTGAAATATTCAGCGACCACGTTTACTAGCATGGAATGGACTCGCCCTCGTTGTTGTTGTTGTTGTTTCATATTTATGTAACTGTTTTGTGTTAAGGGCCTACCAGGCGATTTTGGAGAGTGGAGGTGTCCCTTGGTATGACATGGGCAACACCCACCAGTCTCCTATCATGGATTATCTTGGTAGATATTTTGGCAATCATTTTTGGAATTTTCCGTCGAATACGGCATATATTTTGTTGTAATTGTATTGGTTTATAACTATAGCGTACAATTCAAATGTGTAACAGGTTACTTTGCCTTGCGTACCCACCAAACTGGATCGGAAGCCTTCATAGAGTTAGCCTTCACGAGTGTAAAAATCATGTGATTATTAAATGAAGCTAGACTAAAGCTAGAAAAAGGTAGCTATTGAAACTTCAGGTCCACTGTGGAATCGCCACAGCGGAATTTCCAACGCGGAATCCTCACTGCAGAATCCCCATGGCAGAAACTCACTGTGGAATCTCCATTGTGATATCTACAAACGTTAGGATCTGAATTTCAGATTTTGCAAGTAATCTCTTTTTCATTGCTTCAAAATTTCCCATCCTTCTGCAAACTCTTAATTTGTTAAAACGATGTTATTTGGCATTGTTTATGCAGTGCAGTTATTTATTGGTTAAAGCTTACTAACACGCCAAATTAGTTCATGGCAATGCTCTGAATTATTATGCTCTGAAATATTTTAAAAATTAGCTTTCATGTATAACCTTTTACATATTGTTATGATAATTTAAGTAAAAATTCTCTATGTGAAATGTAAATAAAGAAATGTAGATTTGTAACTAAAATATGGAATTGAATATTTGGTTCTGAGTTTTTTTGTTCTCAAACTGCCATTTGCACTGAGAATAATATATTCTTTGCGTGTGCTCAAGTTTCCAAACAACCGTCCTAGGATAGGTAAGCTGCTGGTCTTAGTCAAATGAGCAACTGCTTTTCAAAAGGTAAGCAACTGATATTGATCCAATAAATAAGCATTCATGGATAGGTAAGTCACTGCTCTTAGTCACATGAGCAACTGGTTTTCAAAAAGGTATGCACATGAGCAACTGGTCTTCAAAAGGGTAAGCAACTGATATTAATGAGATAAACAGGCATTCATGGATAGGTAAGTCACTGCTCTGAGTCAAATGATCAACTGCATAGAAATCTTTCTGAATGGCTGAACGAACAGAAAACGGGCTTCGTTCGAATAAAAAACAAGCCAGATTCAATAACATTGCAGTATTGAGCTTTAAGAATGACAGAATGAAAAAAGAATGACAATGAAAAGTTTTATCACTGCACGATTGTGACTTTCATCATTGCACAAATAGGTCATCACCCGCACGTTAAATTTCTCTTTGGAAAGAACCTCAGTATCTCATCTGTCAAAATTTTCAGTTGTTGTGAATATTGTTTGTGAGCTTCACAATAAAATAGACTGACTTGAAAATTATGATTCCAAGCGCGGGTTTCCTACAATGAGAAAACTTCCCATTCATGCTTTGTTATGTTTCCATTCGGTGCCATTTCTGTCGCTGCGCAAGCGTCTTAGAGAATCTAACCTAGATGCGCCCCATGAATGCGTTTACACAACACTTTGTTAAAACTAACACAGCTTCGACCTGAGGCCAGCCCACCTTTCAGGATGGGTTGACCTAGCCTGGGATTGCAAACTTTATGGGCCCCTGAAGTTCGATTTCCCGGGAAAAAAGTAACATTCCAGTCCGCCCCTTCCTTTTATTCCCTCCCTAACTAGCCTTTCAAGTGATTTACCCTTTCGCAGGCAAATATAGTCTTGTTACTGACAAATAGTAAAATTCGTAAGTTTCCTAAGCGACGGGGTGCGTGTATGAAAATTCTCGGTCTCGGTCACCTTTTCAAATGCTTAAAGAAATTATATCGCTGTGTACAATTAATCGCATACAGGTGCCACGGTTTGGATTGATCATATATTTGTGTTATGTTTTGTTTTATCGAAGTTCAAAAACCAATAATTCACGATCAAATAAAAGACTTGAATTACTTTCTGTTTCCAAGCAAACTATATTTGTCGCACTTTATTGACTTTTTAATCTTATCAGAGTTTCATTGAAGAATGCTTCGTACCTAATGAATTCTCAGATTTCCTAATTAAACAGCATTGTGATGCAGCACCTATGTTCTTGCCGATGAAGTGAGTGTCGAAGAAAAACCTGGAATTAAGGAAAGAAATGATTTGGACCCTAGACCTAAGAGCCTTGCCCGGTGGCTTAACGGATGTATCATGGGCCCTGAGGAAAAGGAAGCGACGGCGAACCGCGACGGTGGACGGCGAAAGTGCCCCATCCATCAGCGTAGAGCATGTCAAGCACAATAGCAAAATGTTAACATTACAGTCAACATATTATTTGTCTACTGAGTTAAGGAGGAGCTGAGTTATATAATCTTAAATTAAAGAGCAATTTTGGCAAATATAGTGAACTTGAAAGATGCTTTGAAGGCCCTTTTATTCCAGGTTTGGAATTAGGTCCTAATGGTGTCTTCAATCGTAAATTTTTGAAGTAAGTATAGGTATCTAATTTTCCAGTCTCAAATTGTTGAGACCTTTTTTACAATTTCAGTCTTGGAAAGAATAACATACTGCCCGAAAGATCACTTGCCATTTCAGAAATGGTCAACTTGAAATGTACTTTTCAAAAATCTGAAGTCAATTTTTTTATTGTAATGATCCCTAAAGCTTGGTTCCCACTAGGTGACTAAGTGCGTTCAAGTGCGTTCATCTCTAGTCCTTTAATTTAATGAAAGATAACAGATAAAATACCCAGGCATTCCCACTTGCAAAACATAAACACTCAGCTAGCTGTGTGAAGACAAGTCAAAATGTCTAAATGTCGCGTTCTATAGACTCTCGGACATGCATTTAAACACTAAAATAATTATAATTTTTGCTCTTTTATCACTTATGAATTATGCAATTGTAGGATGTTGTAACCCTCTCTTGAAAATTATGTAAAGGCCATTGTTAGCCACACTATCCGATCAAGTATCGCAACAGGATCGCAACTTAAGTTCCCTTGCATTTTCGTGACACGAATTTCGCAATTCTTTTACGTGTACATTGTAGGTGTTCTATGCTTTCAGCTTATGGCCTCTCGTTAGTCATTTCAAGTAATCCTGATTGTATAACTCTTTTCAAAATTTACAAGTTAGCAGAAATCTCTTAATTGGCAATGTTTTATTGATCGTAAGGTGCTGACAGTCACGAAATCAATTTCATGCATTGCTATGGTTGAAATTGCCTTATTTTGGCTTTACATTTGCATCTTACTTGTTGGTTGATGAATGAAATATTCTTTGAATTTTTCGGTTTTTTTATGTTTAAACGCTCAGATCAAAATTTTTTGGGGTTTAACTTTTTTGAGCGTTCAAGTGCGTTCATCTCCTCCAAGTTAAACGCTAGGAGCATTCCCACTTGGCGTTTAACTTGAACATTCAGAGATGGACGCACTTGAACGCACTTAGTCGCCTAGTGGGAACCAAGCTTAAACTGTGCCTGAATTCAAATACGTCTTATTGGTAAATTTGTTGCAACTTTACTTTCAATCAAACATTTTCGAGGCAAATAATACATTCTTGACGTGATCTTCTGTCTTAAAAATCCTACTGCACCTGGAAATCTACCCTGGGTACAAAAGGCCACATAAATTCGTACGCGGAAATAGAAGACAGAAGAGGAGCAGCGGAGGAATCTAGTTTGCATTTCAAAATCGTGAGATAGCCGAAATCAAGTCTATATCACTGCCATTGAATTTTTCAATAGGAAATGCAAAGTGATATACTAGATGTGAACATTCGGTTTTTGTAAATCCCTGTGCGATGCACTGCGACGTGCTGCTTCTAGTACGAATTCAGCTTTACAAACGCTTGTACCATTGCCGTATAGCTTGCTTGATTTTTTGTGCTTAGTAGTTTGAGCTGATAACTATCGAGGGGCATCAGGCGCCTCCGCGTATCTTGATATCGAACGAATGATTTTGATGTGCAAGATAGCGCTTGTAAATAAAGACGCGTCGGAATGAGGGAAATTAATTTTATTCTGGTTGCTTCGTGAATCATAATTCATAATCACGATCGTATCAGAGAAATCTCGTTACTGCTGAATATCAAAAACTCAACAATGCGTCAACACAAAGGTAAATTACTTAGTAAATCCATATGATGACAATTCCTATATAATGAGCAATTGCTAAGACGTGACTGTAAACAAGGCAAATAAGCCCCGTAAACAAGTCACGCGAGCAAAATGAGTCCGGGAAATATGGCTCCTGTGCAGGGTTTCCCAAACAGCCTACTGACTTGGCAATTGTTTTTTGGCGGATTGCGGCCGCGGCATAAGAATGTTTGGACCGGTCTGGACCAACGCAACCGCTTTTTGCGCGAAACAGATTGAGAATCATAAGAACTTGCCAAAGAGTGACTTCTCGAAATTCACCTTTTTTCTTATAAGTGAGTTGTTAGCTTTTTGTGTGAAGACACGTTTTGCCATTGCGGTTGCGTTTTTGCGCTTTATTTCATGGCAAAATGCGGCTTTTGGCTGATTTTTGCCCGGTTTTGCGGCTTGCTACCCTCTATAATTGGCCCACCATCTTACGAAATCCGATGAGCGCTGGTCCGGCAATTAGTATGTGCACATTGTTGGGTCAATTAATTCATGTCAGCATCGGTAAAAGATATCTTTGCATGAACAGCAAACTTTAGTTCATCTCATTACAGCCATGGCAGCGGATACAGGCGTGAGCGTGAAATTGCAGGGTGGCCCTTCTGACCTTTGGAAAAGAAAACTGAAAACATTGTTCACGTGTATCGATGCAGATGGAAATAAATTTATTAACAAGGAAGATTTGCCCGTCTTGGCTGGCAAGTTTCAGAAGTTTGGGGGAATGACGGACGATGCCATGAACTCGTTCAGTGAAAAACTGTCATCATGGTGGGATGCAAACTTCAAGAAAGAGGAATCGCTCAGTTTTGAGGTAAGTTTAAGGCTGCGAAATTTAAAATATTCTTCAAATGCATTGACATGGTGATTCAAAGTGCTCATTTACTGTAGATTGTGATATTTTTATCTTCGCGTTTGCTCTTAAACGACATTACACTGGATAATCATAATCATGACTAGATGTACAGACTATTTTGCCCCGCCTTGCGAGAACAGCAACATAACGAAACTTCAATTGTTGTCTAAGCTCACACAGCAGCACGTATAATGAGTCTAAATAGCATTTGCCGAGCCGTAGTCAAATATATGGCTAGCGGGGGAAATTGTATTCAAACCCACCTGTTTTGTACATCTGGGTTTGTTTGCTAGTTACATATGTAAACTAAGTATTTGAGAGAGATCATCCGATAGCATATCTGTTTGAAGTCAGATGAAAAGAATTTGTTTTTATCTATTGAATTTTGAATTCATCTAAGGCGTATTTCAGAAAGTATCTTTATAATCTGTGTATCCAAAATGATTACGTCAATATTCCCGTGGCAAAAATAACAGCTGAGGTGGATAACAGCAATCTTGCTTATCAGACAATCCAGTCCTTGCAATTGCATGGCAGCTTTTACACCGTATTAATTAAGAACAAATTAAGAACCATACAGCCAGAACTTTCAAGATTTTTGAAAAAATTAAGGACAGTCAGCCTGAACTTCCCCAACTGAATGTCCCCAACTGTTCTTAGAATCTCTTTTCATGACCACGATATTAATGCATCGTTGGTTTAATGCACAAATAACCAATCAGAACGAAGAACCACAATAGTATACTCTCCCTGGGCATTTAAGTTTTCTAGTTCTGTGAGAAAAGAGTGTATTCTATGAAAAAACGATGCCATCTTCAAATCAAGTTCAAAAAAGGTTTCTCTAATCCTATTTTGACAGCATCACCACCAACAAGATTGAAATTACTCAGTTGAAAGAAGTTCAGTTTTCATTACCAATAGAGATTTTTCAAAGCAGAGATTATGTGGCGCCCAGCCTAGCTTGGCTAGCAGATTTGAATTAATTTGATAGCAATAGTGAGATCTTGGGTTGGTATTTTAATAGTATTATATTAAGAGGATAAAACAAATTGATTCATGCTTGGCAATAAAAAGGAATATCAGAAAAGGTAAACGAGAATACTAATACCTGGAATAGCCTCCATTTAAAAAACGCCGGTAAAAATAATGTAGTTAATAAGACATCTTCAGTTGCAGATGACAACTATAAAGGGTGGCAACTATAAAGGGTGGCAACTATACGATATTGTTTATACAAGAATTGTATTCGCAGAAACAAGAGATGCTCTAGAGCTTAAATAAGAATGTATTTATCAAACAGATGCCGCAACTTTAAGCTTTCTTTTTTTCAAACAGGATTTCATGAAGGGCAGGATTGAAGTTATGCAATCGGCGAGAGCGAATGAAGATGCAGAGGTGCACTACAAAGCCAATTTGACGATGATGTTTAATGCAATAGATTTAGACGGAGATGGAGTCATCTCGCTTCCTGAATGGAAGATCTACTACCACGCAATGGGAATTCACGATGAGCAGAAGGCTGAAGAGAGTTTCAAAATTGTCGACACCAACGGAGACAACAAAATGAGTCTTGATGAATACATTGCCGGCGCCTTCGATTTTATGTATAATCAAGAGGAATCTCCCAACACATACTTCCTTGGTCCATTGCAATCTCTATGACAATGTTTAGGGCCATTTCATCCATTTAGAGCCCCTTTATTCGCTGCATATTATTATATTATAATCCAATGAAATAGAGAATTTAAAGGCACGTTTTTATGCTCTTAACTTCCCGCAAGCGCATTGCATTGCTACGGTATTATCTTGTCAGTAAATGTCTTTGACAGAATGGCAGCCTAAAAATGCATCGGCCCGATGCACCCTGTCTCCCATAATTCTTTTGCATTGACTTAATAGAAGTTCTGATCGATATAAAATTGCAATTAAATGGACTGAGACCCAGGGTATATTCCATTTTTTCTCTCCGCCGGATATTTCCGCCAGCATTTTCATAGTGCAAAAATACCCGCCAAAGCCGAAGGGGCAAGAAAAACTAGCCGAAAAGATTTAGGGGTCCATTTTTATTGTTCAATTCAAATTGCCTGAAAGCGTGGTTGGAATTCATTTTTCATCTCGAAGAGAAAGTTTTGAAATTATCTTCGTTAATCTGAATGATGTTCAACGCAAATTTCAGTCATTGATTTATATATTTGATGCAGCGCCACGCCAATGCCACGCCAATAGCATTGGAGCAAAGTTTGAAAACGATTAAAAAAGAAAGCCATATCTTGTGCTGCCAGCGACGGTGACATCCTGGCTATGCTAGTTATTATTTGCCGCAAATAGCAGTTATGAAAGCTAGTGGGCTTCACTGCTTAGGCTTATGCTATTAGCAAGACCTCAATTCAATGTTAGGCTTGTCTGGCTGACAGGGCCGCCGAGAAGTTACTGAGGCCCTGGGGCCAAAACCGGGAGGTGAGACCCCTGGAAGTGGAGCAAGCAAAAAAAAATTGCGACCACGACCTTCAGATTCGCTTAAAATGCTTCAGAACCTTTCTTACAGTTATTTTTAGGCATAGATTTTGCAAGGTCTGATTAATGTCATTCTTAAGATGCAATTCATTACTTTACGAGGCCCCTATACCTCGTGGCCCTGGGACAATTGATCCTTTTTGCACCCCCTCTTGGCGGCCATGTTGACTGAAGTGCGTCAGTGCTAGGATGACTCGGCGGTTAGGTCCAAGTGTCTGTGGTTTCAGTCCCTGCCATGGCCAAACTTTCACTTAAGAGTAAACATACCTGGCATTGCAAGCACAGGAGTCGAGAGGGGCGTGGTTATACGAGTTGAAGAACCAGGACACTGCTCGATAACCACACCTACTTAGTGTACTGCAAGCTATCAACAAAAGCTAGGTAGTGACAAATGAAAATAAAAATTGAGCATTTGTTATGGCAGTAAATCTACAATTGCAAAAGTTATTCAGCACATTTAGATAGGGGAGGAAAAATTCATTTTATTAAAAACTATGACAAGGGCAGTAAAAATGATTCTATGTTATTGCTTTAATCCAATCAAATCAAATACTGAGCAAAAGTGTTAGGCTTATCTTCGGTAGATTGTAATGTAATCTTAACAGCATTGCAAACACCACCCTGGTTTAACTAACTGCACAGTTATAAAGATACTCAAAAACTAAAGACACTTAAAAATATTCAGACCTTCTGGGAAACTGGTTTTTGCTTATTCCGTGTTTGAAGATTTCTTTCTATATTACACGTAACGCGTAAAAAGACACGATTCGCGAGATATTCAATTGATTTAACTGCAAAAAACATATGATTCCACACGCTGCAAAATTTTAGACCTTTACAGCTTAAAGAACATTTCTTTGATCTTTTCATACTTCTTTATAATACACCGTGACACACAAGGACATAGGAGACAGGTTCTGAGCAAATTTTTTAACTTGACTGAAACCTTTCCGTAGTGCAGTCGTTGGAGTGATGAACCAGGAACAAATTGGTAGAAAAGCAAAAAGTACATCATTTTACGTAGAATTATTTCCTCTATAACATATCCAAAATCGCCTAAAATCCAACTTGGGGAAAAATTTTTCTAGAATTTTTTAAAAACATCAGCTTTTTGACCATATGCACAATATCATCTGCCGAGGGATTCTGCAAAAAATGAATAGCTTGCAACAAATCAAGGCGTAAATTCTGAATTTGGAAGCTGAACAGGTATTTGAGTCGACAATTGAGAAATAAAATTGAGTATTAGGGCCCGTACCACCTGTGGCGGTGAGGCCATGGCCCCCTACTTTTTTGGCAACAAAAATATTTCCATAGAGGTCCTGTTTTGAAGCCCTAAATTTAAGTTCAGTGTATAGAACTTTGCCCCTCCACCTTGAAATTCGTAGCGTGGGCCCTGAGTATAGGTTGGACAGTAACAAAATAAGCAAGTCTTGTTGCTAACCCGCTAAATTTTTGAAAATTCTTGATTATAAATGAGAGTACTAACTTTTCAACAATTTCACAGATAGATCAATTCTGTCTTTTAAGGACCTCTGGTATTTGGAATTCTTTGCCCAGCATGAAACGTGAAAAACAGTTGTCATGATATTTGATTATATATTGCGTCTGCTGCTACAAGATCAATGCTGCCATGAAAGCGAGGTTATAAATTTGCAGTCCACGAATGATGCAATGCTGCATCCTTCCAAAGCTTTTCTTGCACTGGTATCGTTGTGACACAGTTTTCTAGCGCCACTGCTAGGGGGTACGGGCCTTGGAGCTAAGTCATCACGACTCTCCCCAACGCCCTTGCTCTGAAAATGAAGGCTAAAATGGGCTTTATCAAGATACTGCTCTAACACCTCTTTGCGAATCTTTGGCCTGGGGTTCTGTTTATACAAAATAGGTATGAATGCAGTGTTACGCGGCAAATAAAAGTGAGTCAACTTATGAGCCCTTCTCCCCGCCCCCTCCTAAAAATATTTTATTCAAACTGTTGCTCGTCAATTTTCCATCCTTTACAGTACCAGTTAACAAGCTTTGTTAAGACAGAAACGTCGATAACATCACTAAAGTCAATCTTTTAAGCAACACCACATTCAATACCCAGCAAAGCCAAGTCATTCAGCTAGCCATCATTCCTTGTCATTTTGACTTTGCTAGCCTGTGTTCAAGACCGTCGAAAAGACGCTTTAAACAAACAAAAAAGCAGAATTAGTTTCAAATACTTTAATATCTAATTTCAGGCATTTTGGGGCCTTCACGGGAGAAAGCCTTACCTGGAATGACGCATGATTGTTATATAGTCATTTGTCGCAGCATTACCACAAAGGAAGGAATATTTTTTCCACCTGAGCTCAGTAAAACGTGATTGCAGTCTTTTAGAACAAGGTGTTGCGATAACATCGTAACTTTTTCAAAATACCTTTCTTAGGTTAAGAAAGTCTTGACGACAGTTTTGATGAACTTAAACGTTACCAATTGGAGTTTTTTTAACTCTCTCTGTTGAATAATTGTTTAAATCAAGTGTTACGTGTCTTTCACTGTGCTTTATGATGTTTGAGGCCCCCTTTCATAACGTGTACTGCCTTTCCATTTTTAAAAAACTAGCTTGCATATCACAAAGTTTGAGTCCACCAAATTGCTTAGCGGTTCTGCCATATTTTATCCAGAGAGTTTCCAGAAAGTGAGCCGTTCATTTGTACCAATTATTGGGGAATAATGACCTGTGTTGATATCTAAATCACAAAAGGACATTACATCTTTGGCTGGCATGTCCTCAATACCCAAAATAGCCCCCGAGTAAATTGCTAAGGCATTGAGTAACTTTATGTACCCTAAAATATTGATAAATGTCCCTTGCTTATGGTGTGTTAGCGAATATTGTAATTTGGCATTCAAAAACTGCCTGTTGGTTATAAAATTCCCAACCATGTTTTTAGGGAAATCAGAAAAAAACAAACGCGTAAAAAGACACGATTCGCGAGATGTTGCGTTTGATTTAACTGCAAAAACATATGATTCCACACGCTGCAAAATTTTAGAGCTTCACAGCTTAAAGAACATTTCTTTGATCTTAAAGTTACTTCTTTATAATACACCGTGACACACAAGGACATAGGAGACAGGTTCGGAGCAAATTTTTTAACTTGACTTAAATCTTTCTCCGGCAAAGAAAAAAAATTGAGCTCAAGCAACAAAATATAATCACATTGTAATATCTTCGACAATGAAAATACTATCTTGTATTTTCTATGAATTTCTTGTACCTTCTTTCAAAGGAGCAATTTGTATTCGTATTTGTATTTCCACCTAGCATCCGAAGGTACTTTTTTGGGCACTGAGAAGCTTCGTGATTCCTATAAGCCTGCAATTACAGAGAGCTGGCGATTCTCCCCACTTTGGGTGAAGGTTTGGTCATGGCAGGGACTCGAACCACGGACCCTTGGGACTGTAGTCAGCGCAATGGTTTTTTAATGATTAATTAACAATACTGGAAAAAATATTCGAGGGACATTTTGCTCTCGACTACCAAGTTATCCACTTTTCTGAGAAATAAATATAAGATAAATTAAAGGGCACGTGTCGTGGACATGATTGGGTAATGCAAAAAACAATTATTATTTTTGCTTAGTACAAAGCATGAAATCGAGGATGAATTTTTACAACAGCAAAAATACAAGAAGCTGAAATGAAAAGTCACGAAACAATGAAATTCTAGTCGAAACGTTTTTGTTGTATTAGCCAAATGCTAACGGGACACATGCCCTTTGAAAAAGCTAAGTAACAAGGAATTTAGCAGCGCATACACTGAAATAAGCTCATGAAAACGTTTGAAAAAATCAAAAGCTTGTTAAACAAGAAAAACGCAGATATACAATGTTTAAAACTCATTGACTCGCAAAATGATGAACCACTTGAAAGAATGAGTTAACGATTATATAAAGTATCTGCTATGACGATGACAAAAAACATACTTTATAACTTTGTACAGAACATGAGGTGCATCATTAGAATATTAGCCTAATGTTGAAAACCGGATTAAAGCAGCATTCAAAGCACCAACGCTGTTAATCTCTGCACTGCATCAATCTCTGGCATGCATCAATCTCTGGCATGCATCAATCTCTGACATGCATCAATCTCTGCACTGCATCAAATTCGTGTTTACTTTTCTATAAATTGCTTCACATTTAATGTTTCATCAGTTCGTCCTCTGGCATCTTGATGAAATGATTCTCGTCGATTTTTCAGTCTAGTGGCATTTCCCATTAGTAACAGGCTTCGGGAACAATTCAAGGAGAAGTGGAAAATTCTACGAGAAAAGAAGGTTATAAAAAACATTGAACGTCTTTTGGGAACGGGGGGTATCAACTTATTGTACACAAAAGGGGGATATCAATTTCTTGTACACAAAAGGGGGATATCAATTTCTCAAGGGAGAGTTCGTCGAAGTGTTTGAAAATTGAAACAAGGAATAACAGGGAAAGCCCTTTCGAATGATACAAGAGAGCCTGGACATCTCTTATAACCGAAACGGATGAGGTACCAGACGGTCAGTCGTTTTCAATTAAGCAAAGTTTCCAAAAACACTTGAATGTGGGATTATTCGGGTTGAATGTGGGATTATTTGGAAGATGTGTTTGACATGCTTGGTTATCCTGTTTGCTAAAAACCAAACAGGGTTATAAAGGAGCATCGTCATTTACTTTACCGTGGTTTTGGCTCTGGATGAAATCAGGTTCAAACAGAAATTTGATACCACGGAACAACGGTTATTAGGGTCTCAAGCCGTCGTTACTACAATCACGGACAAAAACCAATTATATATACCTTTGTCAAAACGGGTAAAGATACCTTCTCCCAGACCCACCTGTCAATGCTGAAGCTGTTTAACTTGTTCTTAGATGATACGGTTACATTCATTTTTGGAATACGGAGGGCAAGGCTATTTCTGTTATATTAATCTCTCGAATTTTCCAAAACTAAAATCTTTCACTACAATTTTGTCCATGACTGTAGCTCGTCTCAGAGACTTAAGATTCCCATATAAAGCCAAATACTGAAGTCTGTTCAACTAACGTCAGTTGAATCCTTAGTCAAATACAAAAATTTTAAATCACACATATGAAACAATAATAAAGCTAAAAAGTGTGATTATAGCTTTATTACACAGCTCAGATTCAAATTCCGTTAATATACAGAAAGCCTCTGTTAGCATTTTTCATGACAGAAGTTTAAGTTCAAATACCTAGAAAAGACGTCAGGAACCCTGTATTTTATTCACTAACATCATGTATTGTTGAATAGACTTTCTTCAATGAAGATGCTGATTCTTTCAAAGGAGTAGCATTCGTTTGATTAACAAAAAGCATTGTAACGCATTGTTTAATATAAACGCATTGTAAGATAGAGAAAATGGAGCTCAAACTCACCTCTATTAGGAGATAGACGACCCCTAGGTACATTGCGATGAACAATGCCAACAGAAGATCGAATAGGGCCGGTTTTACACTGTAAAAGGAAACAAGAGGAGGTTGTCATGTTTGAAATAAAAAACGAAATTTTGAAGATATAAGAATGCAATGAGATGCCTCTTCAAAAAACAGGGCAACGGCATCACAAACAGGATAAGAAAAGCGATAATCCTTTTTAAAACATACGCTACGCTTCAGGACAGCAGGGTACCCTGAGGTAAATTGGAGAAATACATGGGCGAAGAGAATCCACCAAGAAATAAAAACTGTGGCTGTTTTATAGCCTTACTTGAAATATCTCGTGGGCTTCACGAGACAAAGGATTTCCTTTATGAGCATCTGTTTATTATATCAGATAATAATAAAATTAATGGACATATCCTAAATACAGTAAAAAATAGGAACTGGAATGCCAAAACGAAACTCAAAAAAACTACACCGTATTCATAGGAAGGCTTGGAGTTTGATTACAACGCGAGGAAATTGGAAATAGGCATTTAGTAAGAATCTGAGATAAAGAAGATGGATTCCTTGAGGCAACTTCTATAGTCCCTATAACATACAGGAATATCACAAAGATGTTCAGTGGGGGAATATAATTGACACTGACCTGTAAACGGACATCTTTGCTTCAAAGTTGTCGTAAAAAGTGAACTCTGGGTCCCTAAAAAAGGAACAAAAACTCACATAGCTCCAAGTGGACTAAAACAATTAAAAATGGAGCGATGTAGAGCGAGAAGTGAAGCGATGTTGCTTTCCAACTGTTCAAATGTACGCAACGAGAAAATTAAAAGGTTTCAAATACTCAAAGGATTGCGCAAAAAACGTTGGGAAGCAAGAGTTTGTCAATACACTGAGTTTAAAGATGCAACATTTTGAGCGAATCAGGAGTGGAAAAAACAAATGGATGCTGGGTATTTCGACAGAATTTCCGGGTACTAAAAATGAAAGAGACATTTTGAAATTTCTGCATCCTGTTGCAGGCTTTTCCTTATGGTGCATGTTTGCATTTAAAGGTTAACCATACATCGCTCTAAAAAAACTGCTAGCTTCCGGCGTTTTGCTAAAGAGCCCCATGTTCCGTCAGGGGTATGCCTTAGGCCTTTGTCACGACAAAATTTTGCTGAATTCTTTTCAAAGCTAAATTTTAGCCTTAAAATAATCGAAATGAAATAAAACCTCCTTATCGGCAGATTCAATGCCTGCCAGCTTCATTGCCAAAGTATGGGGATAAAGAGGTTCACGAAATTAAGGCGAATAGGAATCCCTTCAAAACAAACAAGAACTGTGGCGGTTGCAATTTCAAGGCATTAGGCAATTAATCAATACAAGGAAAGTGTAAAATATGTTATCAGTCGATTTGTGGAATAGGCCTACACAAGGCACCAGAGAATCTACGCCAACTGAAAGGCAGAATCCGTCAATCAGTGGCGGACACCTGGACACCAATACTTTAGAGGACAATGGTCTTTTATTCCAAAACAATGGGAAATTTGACGCTATCTTATTAAAACAAGAGGCTTGCCCCCCCAATACTTGACCGCCCCTGCCGTCAATACCTGCAAAAAGTAGATGATAAATACTAAATGATGTATACAACTAGGTATTATTTGGTCAGGTTAAAACCTAGAAATCCAAAAGATAAAAAAGAACAAACTTTTTGTCAGCTCGGGCGGTCATTCTTTTGACCTCTTTAACATATCTTGATAATATCTAAAGACATTGAGACTATGAATCAATATCAAGCCTTGAAAATTCGTTTGCAAGTCGGAAAAACATCACAATAGGGACAAATAGTAAGTTGAAAAATATAGAATATACATAATCTTGCTAGTGATGAAAAATGACAAAATTACTTTACTTTTAATGTAAAGGTTGTGCAAATCTCTCCTCGAATTTTACACAAATAAATAAATAAATAAATAAATAAATAAATAAATAAATAAATAAATAAATAAATAAATAAATAAATAAATAAATAAATAAAAGACATTCAGTAGGAAGAGGCTGACAAGAGGAAATGTTTCCACAAAGCATGCTGCCCAATTTTAAATTTCTTCACTTGTCCGCCACTGAACTCAAGGTTGTTACAGGATTCGCATGTGTGTATATATACTTTTACAAAAATAAACATTTGCAAATTTATACAAAATTTATATATGCAAGATATTTACAAAAATAAACAAACAATAACAAGAAAGTAATACCTCTTCTGATGTTTTGAGAAAAGAGCTCTCTTTTGTTACCAGAAAGGCGCTTCTTGACTCACTTGTGATTTGGTGCAGCAAAGATGACATAATGGCCCGGTCTGGTTCCTAAAGCAAATGACCAAGTTAGACTAAGCACAGGGTAAGGGCGCAAAAATCACAAAGAGAAATTGTTATGTTCATAAAAGTTTAATTCAGGTAAGCTTTACGAGTTTAAGAAGCTCTGCAGCTGAAGAAGTCACGTCAAAACTAAACAAGGGAATTAAACCAAATCAGAAAAAGCTGGATGGCGTTCCCAAGTCATTAAACAATTAAAGTAAAGAGGAGGAGAAAATTATGAAACAATGCAATAAGCAAGGAGAAAAGGGAATATTGCATCAGTCACGGACAATTGACGACAACAAAACGTCAACTGAGAAGTGGTGACTACATGCATGCTTCTATCACTGCTCCGTTTGGTAAAACTCACAAAATCAAAGTTGCACCAAAAGTAACAGTGAAGAGGTCCCGACACAAGTTATGGGACATTAACAGGCTGAGCAAAGTAATCAATTGAATGAAATAAGAAAAGACGACTTGCTATTTACCAATGATCCTGCAAGGATTTCGAGATGTTTTGACGCTGGCTGTAAAGAAAAGGAGAAAGAATTTGGAGCATCGAATAACATGTTTGATTCCATTTAAATGATGGTTGGCGAATTCAATCACGCGAGTTCATAACCACAATATAATCATGTGTATTTGAAGTATCTTGATAAAAAAACGTTTCAATTCCATTCACATATGGGGTGCTTTACATGTACACCTGAGGTCTCCCTCTGGAAACCGTGCTGATAGGAGACTAAGCGAGGAAGAGAGGGGGGGGGGGGAGGGTTAGATGTCCTCCGTGCAAGGTATCTCATTAGAAAATGGCTTTGAAAAAGATCATTCCACAGATTACTACTTAAAGCTTTTCTGTCTGACACTCCTCAGAGTATAAAACGTCAGAGTAAGGGTCCGAAAGAACACGATGAACAAGATTGTTAATATTTTATTAGAATAGATTTGGAAGACAGTGCTTTTATTGCTTAGTCAAAGAGATACCACATCAACAACATCGAAGTGAACTGTGGAAGAACTAAGGTAAGGTAAGTATTTACAAGGCTTAGACAAGGTAAGTATTTACAAGGCTTAGACAAGGTAAGGATTTACGTTACAAGGCTTAGACAAGGTAAGTATTTACAAGGCTTAGACAAGGTAAGGATTTACGTTACAAGGCTTAGACAAGGTAAGGATTTACAAGGCTTAGACAAGGTAAGATTTACAAGGCTTAGACAAGGTAAATATTTACAAGGCTTAGACAAGGTAAGTATTTACAAGGCTTAGACAAGGTAAGATTTACAAGGCTTAGACAAGGTAAGTATTTACAAGCCATAAAAGGTTACCTTGCCAGAATGATTGAATATATGCCTTGCCAACACCTCCCCAACTATTTTCACATTTCTCTGCAAAACATTCACATCGACTCTAAAAAATAACAAATCTTCTCGTTGCAGTTTTCTTCCCTTACAGTTTCATTTTGTTAAACATTGCTAAGTGAATCAAACCTTCCTATTTTCAATTTGAAAATAAAAGCAATACACATGTTTATTGCATTACAAAGCCTTTTAACAAGCAACTATTTTCAAAATATTTGAAGTTTCATATGCAGTAAAAATGGAGACTGTGAATAAAGCTGCATATATTATCCGTGCATTAATGGTCTCCATCTTCACAAAACTCTGAAGATAACCGGCCTCGTTTCGAGATTTATGTGAAAATTACGTAATCAAGGCCTAGTGAGTTTTTGAGCAGCGTTACGGTTCGCATAAAACTACTAGAATTTCATCAACTTCAGATGATATCCCTGCTTAGGTCTCATTGAGGACCCATCCAAAACTTTCCATTATCGTGAACTTTCCATTATCGTAAACCTTCTTCAGGTCTGTTTGGTTTGAACCACCTTTCAACTTCTTTCCACATTTACTTCTGCAGCTTTATAGAGATTTCCCCTTGGAAAAGAAATGCTTAACAAGAAAATTTTCAAACAATTGCAGCCCTGAACTCACTTCTTACTGAACAAAGTCTTCCTATCGTGATCAGTTACGGACTCAAAACGAGAAATGGTTCCAGCTGGCAGCCGCCTTAGAGAGAACCTCTCGTGCTCCCAAGATAGCATTTCATCCGCAAGATTAATTCTCTTGTGCACCATATTAAATGTCACCTCTGGGTACATCTCTTTCACAAGCTGAAAAAAGGTAATCTACATAAGCGAGGATTGAATTAAAAATAAATTAAAAATGGAAAGAGTTTTAGAAATTGGTGGCTTAATTCTAATGCTTCAGGAGACTGGGCTTTGAAATGTACACAAGGTTAGGGCTAGACACAAAAACAGGTGACGCAACATACAGCAGTAATGCATTGCAATTTTTGTCCATACATTTTAAATATCTATTTCTTTTCGTGTTTAAAGAAGACAGATATCTGACGAATCCAAACTATATATGGTAAAAAACCACCATGCCTATTTGAAATTACTTTGCTTAGAAACATAGAAATATAAAATTAACAAATAACAATTAACATCTCACCGATTTCATTTCCTAGAGGAAAAATAAAAGCAAAGCATTAGATTCGCAAGTTGAGACTTGATTCACACAATGATTAGAAAATAATGTTATTCTTGATACACGCAAACCTACAAAGACTCATTCATCTTGAAGAACCATTTTAAAGTTGGCTGGAGTCACGTGGACATATTATTTTGAGTCTTACCTCTGTCATTTTACATTGAATAAAAACGAACTAGTAAAATTAACAATAAGGTAACAGATATTTTGAGTTTTTTCAAGTAAATTGAAAACTGTTTCATGAAGAGCTCCCCACGCTAGAATTATGCAAGCTTGGAGTCAGCAAAATACACTGATCAATTGGTGACCAGTTTCAAGGAGGCTCGAACATTGCTTTACTTGTTTCATGCAGTCCCGATATACCACAGAACATTAATGATGGCAGGATTATTTCTATCTTTACCATATCACTGTTTCAAGAGAAATCTTAGGTACAATACCCATGTATTTCAAAGAACAAGAAATGCCTGTTTGAATAACGAGTTTGAGAAATCGTGAATGATTAAAGCTGATCTGGATAGCTGCAAACGAATATAACGGGATCAGCCAATAAGCAAAATATAACCAACCTCCATAACTTGATACGCAGTGCTTCCCTCCTTTGGTGGTTTTGAAACATGGAAATTCAAGCTTGTTCCTCCTCCCAATGAATCAAGACACAGGACATAGTCTACTTCTGATAGCAGGCTGATTTCTGCAACAAAGGAATCGATTGCTTCAGAAATATTAGCAGTTGTTTAAAAAGTTTAGATTTATACGCAATCAGGATACAAGGGAAAGCTTTGTTGCAGTATTGGATAGCGATATAAGCAACTAAGGGACAAGAAAGAAATCAGGTGCTTGAATCTATCATTGCTTCGTTTGGTAAAATGTCCCAAACAAAAGTCCACTGACAGCAACAGTGGGACAATAAAAGGAGCCTATTGGGCAGTGAGTGGGCTGGAAATATATTTCCTTGAAACATATGCTATTATTTTATTCCAATATTTTACTAGAACGAATAAATAAACTTTTCTCTTATGTATCCAATATGCAAACAAAAAACCATGTTGGAGACACAGAGGGAAGCGATGGTCAAAAGGAGACATGCATAAAGAGGACTTTAAGATTTACAAAAACAAACAGTCTAAAAACCTGATGACTCTAAGTTTTCATCAATAAACCTTCTGGTGCCTTGGTAATTAAACTTGCCACCACCGGAGAGGAAAAATAACAAATTGTATCTGGGCATAGTTAAGAAAGAAAATCAAACTACATCACAATTAAAGACACAAGTGTAACAGTTGTGATTTCACACGGCAACTAACTTAGAAAAAACTGACAGAACTACACAAGAATAGACAATTTAAGCAAAGTTGAGCCCTGTTTGCAAAGTTAACATGGGACGTTTTCCTCAAATCATAAGTGACTCTAGAGGGTCCAATTCCATTACGAACCGTTTGTATTTTTATAGGTGAGCTGTGAATCGCTCCCCTCATTTGCTGAGGCGAGCTAAATCAGTAACACATAGAATGTAATTTAAAGACAATCGACAGATGACTCAATAAGCCCCTTTAGTATCTGTCGGTTGCCTTAATGTAATTGCCTCAGTCAGGAGTGTTATGTTTTACTTCTTTCAATTTGTATTTGCTTTAACCGCGACTTAGGCACCCCCTTTACTTGAAGTATTTGAAAGAACAGACTCTCTCCGTTTTATGTAAAGCTGGCACAACACAAAAACAACAATTCTCTTGCAAAACAATCTTTTTGTTGCACAGAATTTGAAAATGGCTTTAAAAAACAAATTTTGAAACAAACTTAATTATACGTCTAGCACTCTTCAGAGAATAAAACGTCAGAACATAGAAGGAAAACTCTACGCTAAAATACCCAGTTTTGGATCGAAATAGGCCATCAGAAAACGCGAGGACATGACTGTTGAGGTTTTCCAATAAGTGCCCCTTTCCTATTGAAAATGTTACCAACTGCTACATAGATGGAACGATGATCAGGCTTTGCCAATAATGCGAAACATGTCGCGGTTATAGTTTTTACCCAATCTGGGTTTTTCAGTAAATGCTGCTGGATAGTGGAATTCCATGTTTTGGTTGTCGTTCTTGATCTGCAAGACAGAGTACCCTGTTCTCTTTGAGGAATAGTTTTGTTTCTATTGCTGGAAGGGACCTGCTGTCTTATTATATCCCCAATCTACAATTACTACCCATTTCTTCGACTTTCCTTCCAAAAATATTCCTGTTTTCTTAAGATTGAAAGGTTCTAATAGCTACAAACGTACCTTTCGGTTAACTATCCTTTTCCAAATAGATCGAAGTTTATGCCTAACAAAAACCGCCCAACAAGCAAAAAGTTAATTGCAAAAAATGCAGTGACGGGAGAAATCGCTGTTACAAAAATAAGCCAATTAACCCGTTTTCAGGGTTCTCTGAATAGGAAAAGGGCAAATGAATGGAAATGTTAGGGGAGCGATTCTCCCTTCATGTTCTGTTTAGGAGAGCAATTCATAGCTCGCCTCAGGTTGCGAGGGAAGCGTGGAGGCGAGCGCGAGCTATCGCTCGCCTCAAACGGCCAGGCCTGACGTTTTCCTCAAATCATAAGTGATTCTAGAGGGTCCAATTCCATTACGAATGATCCATGCACAAATAAATGCAACCATTCATAACTATAATATATCATAAAAAGCTTTAAAATATAAATTGCCACAATATCAAACCGTGTAAATTGAAATATAACAAATTGAGGAAAGGATACTTTGCATGTGTACTGCTTTGTGAATACAGCCTAAAATATGAACAAGAAACAAGCCTAAGTGACAGATTTCATGGCAACTCTATTCAATAATAAGAAGGACATTCAAAGAGACAAAACCCAACCAGCTAGAAAAAGATCATTGGTTGTTGGCCCAATCATTTGGAAAATCTCAATCAGAGGCAAGGCCAACATGCCTTCTAAAATGCATGTTATTAAGAGGGTTTTCAACAGAACACATTGTTTAAAGAGGAGACATTTTGTGAAATGGGACTTGAAAACATCCAAACATGGAGTATGCCACTTCTTCAGTTCCCTGCTTTTACCCAAAATTGTTATCAAGGAAGCCAAAGCCAAAATTGCATTCATCTGATAAAACCAAATTCAGAAACAGAAAGAATAATATACTTAACAGAAGACAAGTAAAATTTTTGCCTGGGGACTTACTTCGAAAACAGCCTGGCAAGCTCAAACAAAGCCACAGCGCCACTACCATTGGCATCTGGACCATTTGCAAGTTTCTGAAAAATCAAAACTAAAATTTCAAACTTCTTTTATCATTTGCATGACTTTATAATAACAAAAGGTTGTAAAGCTAACACCCTTCTGTGTTAGAAAATGAGATAAATGGTACCATGTGGAAAAACTTAATTCAATCATAGATTCTAGCTGTTCACAACAAATTTAGAAACATGGCTAAAACTGAGCAAAAATATTTTTTGTCTTTTAAAATAAATGATTGTAAGACTTTTAACTGACTTAGACTAATGAATAACTTCCCTGTAATAGTGAAGTATATAAAGTACAAACTGGTATTTCTTATCAATTCTTGAAGATTTTGATTTAACTACTAACAGCCTCAAAATAAAAACTTACAGGGATCATGCCCAAACTGTCATAATGAGCCACAATGGCAATAGTAGGAAGTTGATCTTCTAAGCCTTGACCAGGAAGTTTTCCCTATAAGCAGAAACAAAATATCCTTTACATTGTATGAAAAACAAAGAACAATTTTCTCTGAAACTATGCAAGATACTGAAACCAAAATTTCACAGTTTATTCTTTAAGGTAGGGCAAGTTAAAATATAGTCAGCAGTTGAGAAAATCATATGTGGTTCATGTTTTGTTTACAATTGAATTGTCAGTTTTCATTTTGCAGCTCAATTTTTTCCCCGAAACATTTTTAATGTACTTGCATTTTTGCATCTAGTTAATGTATTCATTGCCAAAAAGTGTTAATTTTTCAGAGTGCATCAAAATTTTGACACAAAATGAAAAGCTTAAGTTTTCTTGGCCAAGCAAAGGTTCCATTTCAACCTTACAAATGGTGTTATGATTTGACCAGTTCTACATAGGACGATATTTGAAAATGGTTTACTGGATTAGCTGAGAATCAAAATCAGATTCATTCGAATCTGTTCTCACATGAAAACCAAGTAAGTGCAACAGGGCTTAAAAATCTGTATGCTTTTTGTTAAATTATTTTGTTTTCGAGAAACTTCTTCAAAATTCAGTAAACATTATTTAGTTGTATGAAAACCTCAAACTCTTTTTCAAACAGTGATACACCCTTTCAAATACAAACATGGCCTTTGAAATGCTATCAGGTCTTCATAAAAATCATAAGGTCATTTCATTTCATTTCATGGAACAAATGCCATCGCACACCATAACATGCCTAAACTTTTCATGGAAGTAAGTTACCAGCACACCGCCAAATATCATATTTCCAGGACTGTCTGTGACTGTTAAAGAAAGCATTAACATTTTCATGGTTTAAAGCATATTTACAGTGGAGGCTAACAATGACTCTTTGTAAAATGCTTTAATATTGATTGCAACATTTAGATGCAAATGATTAAGACCTCATATTTATAAGACTTTATATATACTTTAACAATGCTGTCAAGAAATAACTAATTTAACAAGACTAGCAGAAACCAAGAGGCGCTAAGACCTACCTGTAAACTGATGATTGGAAAATCTGGAAGCTGCTTTGACTCTGATGCTGAAGACACCAAATGATATGCACTGGCCGATGCGATGGTTGTGAGAGCTAACAAAAATAAATTATCTCAGTAGTTTGTTACTGATAAAACCAGTAAACAATCTGAAACCCAGAATTTTGCAATTTAATCTGTTTTAAGTTTTGTGAACACAATGTTGTACAAAAAATCAATTGCCTCCACCATCATAAATTCTCAATCAGAATTAATAAACATGATTTAACATTCACTTACTGTTCTATTTAGTTATTCCAAAGGTTCAATTCATTACTTGATTGAGAAAGAGAGCTATAAATATTTTATGGAGAACAGTATATATCCAAGAGATAGAAAATAGTTGGCAATAAGAAGTCAAAAGGAGTAAAAGCACTTTTGGAAGAACTTGGTGGTAACTAACCTTTCAATGCAGAAGTGGCAGCATCGCTTGTGATTGACGCAGTCACCTTCTCATAGAGTTCCAGCAAGTCTTTGCTTTCATGTGCAAAGTACACAGGGATGGGCACATCTGTTTCCAGAAACTGAATCTCTAGTTGCTGATAATACTATGAAAAGAAAAAAGAGTAATACAAGAATGATGTTCTGTGTAAATAAAAACGAAATGTGTAAATAAATAAAATGTCCATGACAGGTATTCCTGAAAAATACACTTATCAACTTCATTTGGCATAGTACTCCAATTCCTGCTCATATCTCGATGTAACTCTGTACAATGTTAATTTCAGAATGTTAAAACGCTGGAAATCAACTTTGATACTCACAATTCTGTCATCTTCAGAAATGTCAGGATATTTGCTTGGCAGCAGTACAAGAAGAGCCGAGAGGCCATCATTTATCTTTGATTTCAACCTGTCTATAGTGACTTCTGATAGCTTTGCAACAGCACAACGTCTTGCTAGGTTATTTGATGAAAATGGTCTTGCTTCCAGATTGACTAAAGCACTTCTTGATCCTAGGTAGAACAAAGAGAATGATGCACTTAATCTTAAATGAATTAACACGTTGAGTAGAGTTTAAAGGGAATTTACAAGAATTTGTAAAATAGCAATTTGCCCCTACATATATCTTCATCTATAAATGTTGCCTATTCTCCAGCTGGAAAAACTTGCATATGCTTCCAGGCACGCTGGTTTTTTGCACTTGCACCTGGCCCACCATGTATATAATACTAGGGCCAAGTCATCATTGCTTGCAGTTCCCCAGGGGGTCACTTGAACTACTTTACAAAGGGGTACATCCAGACTTACTCACCGTTCTCAGGTGAGAACGTCATTTTTTCTCGAAAAATGAAATTGCAAAAATCAAGGTTTAATTATTCAATTTTACACCCAAGAAAACCATTTACTTCTTGTTTGTCTTGTGAATTACAGAGAGTCAGAGAGTTAATTGGTACAAGTATTATTACAGAATTTTAAAAATCCCTCAATTTTTGAAAGCTGCATGTTATTGTCTGTTAAATGGCAAAATATTGGCTGTCCACATTTTCCTGAGAATTATGCCACTGAAATTCAAAAATAAATTGAAACACACCAGTTTAACAGTAGTAGTATGACTAGCCACTGACACACCAAAAATATGCCAGATGCAACGTATTTTGTTTCAGTTCAAAAATATACACACACACAGAAGGCCTAGATTTTCTAAGGTATTCTTCTTTGAACAATTTTTTTGCGGTACAGAATTTGAAAATGGCTTTGAAAAAAGCAAACATTTTACAACATACTTAAAGCTTTTTCGTCTGACACTCCTCAGAGCATAAAACGTCAGAATAGGTTCCGAAAAAACACGATGGAAAAATATATACCCAGTTGTGGATCGAAATAGGCTGTTCAAAAGTTTGGTCCGCAAAAGTGCCCAGTTTATTTGAAACTACCATGGATTGGTAACACTTCCTTGCAATTCGAGAGTCAGATTAGGCAAGCCATAACCAATTGTTTCTTTGCTGTCAATCCTCGGATTGTTTACAGCACTAGGAGAGCCCTTCCATCCATTCAAAAGGATTGCGTCCCTACCAAACAAAAAAGTTCCGTCATTTATGAATTTACGTGCCAGTGTGATTCTGGCTACGTAGGGCGCACAACCCAAAGATTGGGGGATAGAATAAAACAGCATGTTCCTTCCAACATACGAAACAAAACTGCCCCTCAAAGAGAACAGCCTCCTCGATCTTGTAGGTCTAGAAACACTGTTAAAACAAGTGATTCTGCCATTGGTCAACATCTTTTAGACAACCCAGATTGTGCAAAACTCTATAATGACGACATGTTTCGGATAATTGGCAGAGCCCGGTCGTCCTTCCATCTAGCAGTTTTGGAGTCAATCTACATAAAAACGAAAAAGCCGCCATTGTGTAGACAAAAGGAGTTAGTTTTCTCTCTTGGACTCCATTGGTAATTTTTCTTTAGGCTCGCGGCACTGATTGGTCAACTATACCGGTCTTGTGCTTGCGTTTTTCTGATTGGCCTATTTCAATCCACAACTGGGTATATATTTTTCCATCGTGTTTTTTCGGAACCTATTCTGACGTTTTATGCTCTGAGGAGTGTCAGACGAAAAAGCTTTAAGTATGTTGTAAAATGTTTGCTTTTTTCAAAGCCATTTTCGTATTCTTCTTTCATTTTCAAAGTAGAAATGCTTGAAGCTTCTCATGGTAGCAATTGATTAAACATTTTCAGCCTTTTCCTTTCTTAAGACAATCAGAGTTATCAATTGTTTGTTCTTATTTGGCATTGGTTAGTGAAAAGGCTCTGATTTTATTTCATGTTGCAGACCAATCAATACTATTATTTACATGTTTTTATTTCCAATGAACACTTCTGTTCTTCTTCCATGTTGGCGTTGAAAACATTCATTGCCTTTGCTTGGTCTGAAGTATGCTCCATTTGATGTAGCTTATACCCTCTTTAGCAACAAATATTGTCCTTCTGCCACAGAATTCTTTGTTGAATTCAATAAATTTGATTCAATTTCAAAGTACTCACAAAATGTTCCAACTTGCTTAATTAATCTTTTGTTCCAACTTGTCAAAGTACTCACAAAATGTTCCTTGTCAAAATGTTTAATGTGCTTTTAATCTTTTTTATGGTACACTGTAGCCAGTAGTAAACCTTAATTTCAAGTGGAAAACATGCACTGTGCAATTAGAAAAGATGAGAGCATGCATGAAAATACTACTCCAGTTTGTGCTTTTCTAAGCAAAAATCCTTAGATGTGTTTTCTGCTATTCTAAAAAATTTGAAAAAATAAATTCTCGATTCTGGATTCTGATTTGAGTGCTGAATTCTGTGAAAAATTAAGAAACTTCTAGTACTGAAAAATTTTAAAAGTCTTTTTATGTTAATAAGAGTGTAGTGGATATGATCCACTTTTTGTGAAAGGAAGCTTCTCAGACATTTGAAAGGGCATGGTCCCTTCTTTCTTGGTGAGAACATCACCAAGACCATCTGCACCTGGGTCCATCTGATAATTATATGGGTAAAAATGTTCGCTGTGATCAGATATATAATATTGGGACCTGATTTATTATATGCTATTAACAATATGCCTTTTTGATACTGATGGGTTCAACAAACACGTAACAATATCAAAAACAGGAACAAAAGAACAGATAGGTTTAAACTGATTAGACAACATAGCAATTTAATATGACTAGTGGTATCTAATGTGCTCAACACAAGATTTTGTATTTTGATATTTTGGGATCTTATCGACACTTTTAAGCTAATAATTATGGATCTGCTAAATTTGTTTTTGATTGTTTTAGGTAAACTTTGATAATCGGGGATGGACCTCCCCGTATATAAAAAGTCTGAGTAACTCCCCTGGTCTTCTTCTTGGAGTTTAATTGCTAGCATGGGCATCATTAAATATTTCTGAAGAGGTAAAAATGTCAACATGCAAAAAAATGCTTTCCAGGCACCAAAGAAAGTCGTTTAAATACTCACCGTATTTTGTGCCGTGCAAATCATACTGGTGCATTCTGAACACTGGAAACTCCTGAATGCCATAGACGGGGGATATTTGTGATGTGAATAGAACGAAGGGTAAAAACAGGAGGAGACACACTGGAGCTGGCAGCCCTCTTAAAAACTCTACTATGTCAGGAGTTTCACCCAACATTTTGCTGTTATTTCTCTTGTTCTCGAGCGAAAAGGTTGAGATCCAGGTGAAAAGAGAGCCACTGACCTCTTCAGCGCGTGGTGAGTGAACGAGAAGGAGGTACTTCATAAACCTTGCACAAAATAAAAAAGTCCGAAGGCATTCACAGGGCTGCAAAGCTAAGAGGACAGTCCAGACCAGAGGCTAGAATTTACGACACCAACTTTTTCTGATGTAGTTTTCGGCGTAGATTACGAATTTGAATGTTGATCAAGTGCATGAGGGGGCGTTTCCGAGAAACAGGGGCTCAAACCCCAAAAACTAGGAGTGATTGTTTTCTCAGGTACTGACTTCTTGTGGTGATTTTAATGCCAGTTAAAACATGATTGGCTCTTTATTAGTGAATTTTGTCACTATGTAGTGATTTTAATATTGTAAATTAGGCCATATTCCTACATCATGCCATCACCATGACATCCACCTACGTCATTCATAGCATCACCTAGCACATGACATTTCCTTCACCATTGTACACACGTTCACACATCTATGTCATGCTGATTTCTTCTCAAGTCTAGATCTTTCCTTCTCCATTGCATCATCATTACATCATCACAACACATCATTACTCAGCACATTTATTTTGTATCTAAGTTAGTTAATTTGTATGTAAGTTAGTTCAGTTCAGTTCACATCAGAGTTCAGGGGCGAAACTACTGGGGGGTATGGGGGGTGCTGCACCCCCCAATCTTTAAAATAGCAGATTTTGTCGGGCAAATTTATTGCTGCCAGTGTATCTGTCCGGCAAATCTGGAAATTTTCTTTATGTCACACTTTTATTGCTACTTTTTGCCCTAGCTTGGTTTTTTAATTCATGGTCTTTTCCCCCATCTTTTTTTCAATCTCCTCCCAGTTGGGAAAACAAAACAGAAACGAGGCTAGGAACAGCAACATATATACATTTCTGTTTTTTTGTCCACCGATCAGCGCTTTCGTCTCGAGCTCAACGCGCACATGTTTATTTTCGCCTTGAGATGAAGTCTGAAGTATTGATCGACAGCGAAAGTATAGATGGAAAGTAATGTGTGTTTGATGCGAGAAGGAAATGAACACTGTGCATACCCCTCCCCCTACTATTTGCAAACCAAAATTCTTTGTTGTGATTTCTAAATTTTCCCTTGACAAGCCCCCGCCCCCTTTCCATTCTGCCTCGGAGCTCATGGAACACTGACAGTTTTAGAAGCATCATAAATCAAAACATGAAGGATATACCACCTCGGAATACGATGATGAGAAAAATCAAGCAATACTTTCTTTTCCAAATGTATGAAACTTTCATCATACATTCATAAGGAGCTACACTTAGAGTTCGAAAGTATTGCACCCTTCGCAAAAACACAAAAATTGAGCTTTAATGTTAGGTGTACCTGTAAAATACCTCTAATAAAAAACTTTCCTTTGCTTGAGGGATTTTGTTATGGTGAATTTAGAGATACGTACTTTGTGCTTGGGTGTCTAAAAATGTCTTTAAACAAACAGCCTGAGTCTAAAGACCCAGGCTTCCCGATGATTCCAGCCCTTGAGGCGATGTGCTCTAAAAATGAAGTTCATGTATGACACGCCCTGTCATCAAGCATGTCACGCCCTTTCGTCGGGCATCTAAGCTTCATACCCCCCTAATGAAAATAGTGAAGTTTCGCCCCTGTCAGCGTTACACAGGCAACACACTGTCTCTCTCACTGGCTCCGTGTTCTCTGTACGTTAAATAAGATTCGAAGTAGCATCAACGGTGGAAAGTTACAGCAGACAAGATAGGAACCAAGGCAATTCTTGCCACATAATAACGTTCCTATAACTATAAACCTAGTTTTGATGGGCCTATAAAGGGGGCCTATTATAGGAGGACCAAAAGCCGCAGAACCGTGCAAAAGTCAACCAAATGCCGCAATCCGCAATGAAATTAAGCGCGAAGACGCGGCCGCGATAGCAAAAGAGGCCCTATAAGGGGTTATTGAAATATGAAGTAATTAAAGTTTTCGGGGAGAAAATATGACTATTTAGATGTTTTGGTTTTGAAATATGAAATAACTTTGGTTCCCAATATGAAATAACAAAATAACTGAATACATCTTTTAATGTTGTGTTAGAGTTATCTATTTGATAACAGCATTGACTCAAGTGAATTTTGATATGTAGAGCTGTTAGGATACCATATTACGCCTGGGTTGCTCTTTTAAATTTCTCAAACCTTTTTTGGGTCATTTTCTCACAGGAGGCGCCTAAAAGAAGAGGCGGCTTTTCATACTTCATGATTAGTAAAAATGCCAATAGCATAGAATCTACCGCAAATAGTTTTGGCTTATTATCTCATCAAAATAGACAAAAATACCAGATAGCTTCATAGTGTTTTTATCTACATTAATTGTTCCACAACTTTATACTATGAATTCTTTCTAATACAACTAAACAACAGTTTTTTAAACCATTTAAGTTGCAGGATTGATTTGCTGATAAAATCTGTCTTCTAAATTTTCAAATCTCCAAACAGATATTGTTCATTTTTCAATATTTTTTATCTGAGGCTAGACATGTTTCCCACGAGGTTATTCTTATTTTAAACAAATTAGACGAAGACTGGCCCTTTTCAGGTTGTGCCCTCCACGCAAAAGACTTTAGACTATCAGTTTTGATACGTGTATGTTTTTCGAGTTTCTTTAGTTGTTCCCCAAAAACAAGTTGAGCAAAACAAAGATGGATTTCTCATCCAGTTTCCTTAGATTCCCCTCAAAAGTACCAAAGGATCACCAAAGTTCCAAAGAGAATCAATTCCCTATTTTTACCTTAGTACGGGGCCCTTTGGCTTTTCCTGAACATATTCTTTACACATTTTCAATATTTTATCTGCAAAGTTTGGTTTTGAAGACTCAGTCCATTATTTATGTGAGTCGGTCCCATGTGTCCTGACATCTCCTAAAAACTTTCTACTTTGAGGGTAGAATGGAACATTTGACAATTTCGAAATACTTTACTTTGGTAATTTGAAATATGAATTAATTGTAAGATATCATCATGTATTATGAGATAATGTTGTCCCCTCTTATAGAGCCTCGCAAAACGTCACGAGACACCAAAAGCCATCTAATTGAAAAGGGGGATAAGAAGTAACTGTTTCTAATGGTCCTCACTATATTTCGCAGCAAGCTATCGTTGTATCAATCCAAACATTTTTAAACATGTTTTGACACATCAACGTGTTTGTACCCAAGCATTTTTCACATCCCAACTTTTTTTAGAATACCTAATTTTTGCAGAGCCACAACATTTTTTAATTATTAAAACTCGCATTTTTCTTGCTTTGAACAAAACTCAAATAAACCAAAAATTTGATTCCTGATGAAGCTTGAGCGTTGCATTATTCTTTAACTATTCTTAAATTTCAGCGATTTAAAGCCTTAATGTTCTTATAGACTATTTTCTTATAAAAAGTGTGCACCCTGAATCATATGAATGGATCAAAATTCGAAAACAAAGCTAGCCCTACTCAAGCTCTACTGAATAAATCGGTTATTGAACCTCACTGCGCAACCAATTTGTGCCCTGACTCTGAGCCGACAAGGAAGATAGCCTCTCTTGCTATTCGACCCGTCCTTGCATCACTTTTCTTGCTTCTTAGAAATAGAAACAATTTCATGAGTTATTGAAAAATTAATTGAAAGCTGAAAACATTGCCTCTGCAGCTAGATAAAATCCGATACATGAGCCGAAAAATACATTTATTGCTATGCATATGAAAAATTAGAATTTGTTGCTCAATTTTTTATCGACAACAATACGTCCTTAATCTTAACAAAACGTCTCGACAGATTTACCACTGGAGACAGCACCATGGTTGTCGTAGAAGATTGAAAAATCATTTTGAGTATGAGTGATTCAAGTTCACTGGAAAATGGACCTTTTGAAGCAATTTTGCCTTTACAAAAAAATTAGATGGTTTCTCTTTATATAGGGACAGAATCTCTCACATTGAGTGGTTGGGATAAAGTCTTGACATCGGGACTAATAAGGAAGGCTGGGAGTTGGGAATAAAAAAGGAACATTTCCAATAAGGCTGAAATTGGTTTTGCCGAAAAGCTCCATAGGGGAGACCATATCTTTGGTACAGTAGTCTTTGTGCCCAATCCACATGTTTTCGCTGACCATATCATCGTTATAATCCAATGTTTTCTCTTTACATGTTAGAAGATTGGGCAATTTCATCCCCTCGTGCTAATTGTAAATATTTATTTGTAATACTCTACTTTACGGCTAATACTCTACAAAATATTTCAAAATGTTGAATACTTCCTTTCTTTGGCCCTAATCTCTAAAATCTTGGTTATTTTCCTAATATAATAAAAAGGGTTTCAAATAAGGTCATCGTTTCCATAGAAGGAACTATGTCACAGAATAGGAATTAGGCAGAAGGGGGACTCGTGCCTATCAGGTGAAGCCTGAAAAAACTTGCGCCTGCGTTAACTTATACGAGGCTTAGCATGTATCTGTCGGGGAGATTTTAAAAAAGAATGAAATTAGACAACTTTATTTGAGGCGAAATGCGCCATGATAGTGAACAAATTCAGTTATGTATCATAATTCGTTTATATCTGGTTAATGAATGATAATTTGTCATGGCTAAGTTTCTGTAATGAAATCGAGGTTAAAGGGGAATTAAGGAAGTCTATTGTTGACTCAGGCTTCAAAAACAACAAAGGAACCGACGAGAGTTACCCTTCTGCCTATTTCCTATTCTGTGACTATTTTTTGTTTATTTTGATCTCTTCGTAGCGGGAGGACGCGATTGTAAAAACTCTGCCCATATAATTCCTATCATAAAATAAGTGGAAATGTAAGGAGGTAACATAAGAGTTTGTAAAAAGTTTTTGGCAAAGACATTAGATGATTTTTTTGTGGTTGATAGTTGTATCAGGTTGTGTGGAAGCTATGACAGTTCATATGAGACAGAGTCATCTATATAAATTTTTGCAGCTTGTACATACATGTAAAGGTTGTGCATTGCATTCGGGCAGTGATAAGTAATGTAAAGCTTGGTTCAAAAAACCTGTTAAAGCACAAGTTGGTTGTAATTTTGTTTTTTAAATATGTTG